GCAGACTCGAACCAGAAGAATAACACCGTCGTGCTTGAGCTTACACAACAACTCTACGGAGTTGCACAGATAAATCCCCACCCCCTTTCTCGCGGAGCCAAGGTACCCTTTCCGCCCTAAACGCACTCCCTCCTCATCGGTGGCCCGGCACCGAGACCGGGGACACGGCCGAGAAGGATATATATATATATATATATCACAGAGTGGATAGCCCATGCACATCATCAAAACCACCCGCCGTCAAACCCCTAGGTCGCCCTTCTGGGCTTCTGCACAGCCCCCAAGCACCCGGCAAGTTGGGACGCGAGCTCAAGTCTGCAAGACATCATTAGCTGCATTTCGGTAGCGAGGAACTTAACCCCCCCTCCCCTTCCTCAACGGCGCCTACTTCTCGGGAAGGCGACGATCGTACCCCCTTCGAGGCACTCTGTCGTCCCTCCCCCCTCCAGTCCACGTCGGCAGATGCTTGATTTAGGTCAACGTTGATGAGATACACACCAAGTGTCAGTGGCTCCAGAATGTGCGAGAAAAGGTGGTAACACTGGAGATGGGGAACTATCGACTGTCAAGATTTCACCTCCAATAACCGACAAATGAGGTTGTGACAGCGGAGGATCAGCCCGCAAAATTACAACCCCCAAGACACGAACCCCTCCTCCTCCCACCGACCCACGAGATGAAGACCATCTCCGTTTTCTATTTCCATCCAAGGTAAACCGGGAAGAAGGCAAAAGAAGGAGCGCGCGGGGAGAAGAGTAGGCTCACATGCCGGACCGGCTTTGATAATTGAAAATATTACAATCCCCGTGTAAACGAAGTCAACCATCTCCGAAGACACTCCACACCCCGTCAGAACGGGGTCCTTGGATTCATTGAGTCACCGGCAGATGGGACCGCCCCATTCCGGGTGACGCGAACCCGGGTCTTCGTGGTTGGCTAAGATTAGGCGCGCACCGGTACTGTGAACAGGGTGAGTTATGCTGACCATTATATCCCAGATGAGACGTCGAGATAAAGGCACATACATCCACACACCTCTTATACTCACTTTGCACAACTCCAATGCCCCACATCACCAACTTCGGAACACACTTCATTCCCAAGAAAGAACCAAAGTCCTTCGCGAAAACCATAACCAGAAACCCGGTATCTGCACCCGTCGTAACCTCCGAACAGCCCCCCTCCTCTTCCACCCCCTCCTCTCACAAGGTTCAGAAAACCCACCAATATTCAAAGACTCAGCCACAACCAAATCTCATTCATCATTCACTTACTCATCTCATTGAATTCTGCCTGGGAAGAGGAAAGAAGGGAAATCACTATCCACCTTATTGCCATCCCGTAATGTTACCAGTGTAACGGTAGCACTAAGCAATTTTGACAGGACCCAAAAGGCAGCTCGCTTCCCGGGGCGAAGCCGCGAGAGGTCAAGTTCCCCCCCCAAGGCTCGCAGTATTCGGATGTCAAGCCGTAATTAAAAAGCTTGGTGGATTTACCAGGTACGTCGGGCATTCATGAGAACTCGCCTCGTCGGGCCCGAAGAACCTTGCGGGAGATGAATCCCCGGCCGAATCCAATATACCGGCTCCCCGGGCAGCGAAATGCGACAAACGAAAAAAGGCGATGAACAACGGAAAGAGTGGCGATGAAGAAGTTCCTGCGTCATCCGACAGGTTATTTTGTACTAAACACCCCAAAAAAAAAGATGTCCAAAAAAGACTACTCCGGGCCACGCTCTGTATGCGCTTTATATGCCTCGGGAGAGATGCAACCGTGTAAATGTAAGCTTATACAATGGGCGTTCGCCCGAAAAAAAAACAAGCTGGGCGTGAATTGTAAGGCCACAGCTCCTTTATTTTTTTTGTCCTCCAGATCGAATGTGAAAACCTCCCCTCCCTGTAATGAATCTCTCAATCCATATACATTGGGTCCCCTCTCACCTGTGACATGGCCAGTCCCATGTCACCGCCATGCATGCTCTGCATCGTAGCTTGCATATTCGGCATTGACCGGCTCATGTTGATTGCTTGCCGATTCGCATTCGGATTTCCGTTCTGCATCATGAACCGCGCATCACTGGCACCCCTTTGCTGTACCTGCCTCGTCCGCGGCACCTCGAGGGTGGCTTGTCGTTGAATAGGCTGCTGGGGCATGGGCTTCGTGGTGGGCGTGTTCATTACAGCAAAGCTGTCATCGTCCTCCATTTCAGCATCGGCGTCGGCGTCGGCATCCCCATCCGCGTCGGCATCTACGTCGCTTGCCTCGTCAATCGAAGGCGGGCCTGTTGAATCACCCGGGTCGCTATGACCAGTGGCGCTCGTTGTCGACTGCCGGTGCTCGGGGCTCGGGAACTGTTGCACTTGCTGTTGTATGGCCTGCATCTGTTGGTGTTGTTGCGGTTGCTGTTGCTGCCCTTGCTGCTGGTTCTGTTGTAGTTGTTGCTGCTGTTGTTGAGGAGTTGGCGTCGGCGTAGGGGTACTGCTGTTTGCTTGGTCCAGTGCCCTCTGAGCATTCATACCAGTGTTGGCAATTCGATTCATGCTGATAACCGTCTTCCACCTCTCGATTGCCCGCACAACAACGTCGTTCAAATCCAACTGCCGGTCCTCTAATCGCAGCCCAACATGGCGGCCACCACTTTTGATACCCTCCTCCCAAACGTGGGTGAGGAGCTGCCGCTCCAGAGGTACCGTGGCCGGTGAGAACAGCTTGAATTCTCGGGGTTGTTGGAGTCGGTTGAGCTGGTCGATCTGAGACTTCAGGTTGGAGTTCTCCTGCTGTAGCCTGTGCTGGTCATCTTTCATCTTGTCAATCTCAGTTTGCTTCCTGCCAACGCTCCTAGCCATTTCCAATAGCCACAGCTCGTTCCGCCGCTGGATAGGCAGGGAAGACCAAACTTGAAAGGCTGACCCCAGATGCTCATTCACCTGCTTCTCGAGATTTTCCGCCGACTTTTCCGCTTTCTTCACCGCTTCCCGGGTGTCTCTGACAGGTTGGTCCCGAGGAGGATATGTCAGGTCTTCCATAGCTGCCGTTGTAGCGGTTGCGCAGGTGATCTTCCAATTGCTGAACTCTTCTTGGAAGAAAGCCTTCAGGGCATCGTACTCTCTTTGACCGGGTGATTGAACGGACCAAGAGGTGGAGGTGGGATGCTGGGTAGAGGAGAAGAGAGTGGGAGGCGAGGCGAGGCATTGCAAGGTCAATGCAGGGAAGTCGAGGGCCAGAGGGTCAAAGTCGAAAGGCATCGAGTTATTGTCGATTTGTTGCCTAAGATAGCCAAGGTTAGCCATCACGACATTCTTTGCCCATCTGTTCACTTCTGTCACATGTCGGAAAAACTCACTTGGCTGCCCTCCATGAGCTCAAAAGCTCTCTTAATGCGAGCTCTGCCGCGCGAGCAGTATCCATGGCATCTGCCAGCTTGTGCTTGACGTCGAACTGCGCCTTTTGCATGACTTGCTTGCTCACTTGTCTCGGCCTTTTTCCTGCATTCTGGCTGCCCTCGCCATCGGTGGAAGTAGCGACTTCGCCATTTTTGGCGGGGATGTTGTTTATGACACCTGTGGCTTCCCACGAAGGTGTCCAAGGATATTTGCTCAGCGTAGAGTCTACAGCATATTGACCGTCCTTTGGCAGAGCTGGGGACTTGTGAGACTCGCCACTGTCTGGCGCAGCATCTCGCTTGGCAGCAGGTCTAGGGGTCGTGGCTGGAGTAGAGGCGTTCCTCCCGCCCATGGATCCCCTAGGTTGTCTGCGCGTGATGCTTCCTCGCAGACGCTTGATTGCGTCAACGTCGTGGATTCCATCTGGCGGCTTGGGGTTCTTCTCCTTGATGTAGAGATCGAGGTGTCGACCAAGAGAGGAGGAGGTGAAGGCCTGGCCGCAGTAGGGGCAATTCTTGTCCTTGGGTGCGCCCAGTTTCTGCTGGCTCGAGTCGGCGTTGCTCGCGGTTTCTGCCATTTTGGCTCGGGGTGTTGGATGTTAAAGAGACGGGTGGGTAACGAGTGTATCGGAAGGTTTGTCGAAGGTAGGGGGCGAATTCGTGTTCGGTTCGGCGGGGTGCTACAAGGCTTCTCTTGCGTGAATAGACACTTGCAGCTGCTCCAGGGGAGCTATGTAATCGAGGGTCATATGTAAATGGACCGGGTAGAGAGTGGTCGAAGGCGGAGCCAGCGAAGTTCAGAGTTGGTAGATAGATAAGGTAAGGAAATGTAACGAGTGGTGTAAGGTAAAGGACAGAGGAGGAGTTAGATAGATAGGCAAAGAGAGGAGTAAAAAGAGGGAGAAAAAAAAAGAAGGACTAGATGCTGAAGAGCTAAACGAGTGTGCGAAGAGAAGGAGGTCGGCTGGAGATGTCGAGAAGTAGCTGCTACCCTTGTACGAACGAACAGAGGTGAACTGAACGCAAGCCAATCCTTGTGACGAAGAAACGTGTATATCGGCCGTTCACGGAATCAGGTATGGAAGAGGTTCGGGTTGTCGGTTCGAGATGTGTGTGAGAGCTAAGGTAGCGAGTCGGGTTGATGGAGGAGGGCAAAAGTAGGATGCCGGGTATTAAGGAAGTAGTAAAATCTTTTCCCGGACAGTCTCTCTCATGCGCGCGCTCTCTCGATCTCTCTCTTGCCGTGCAGGTTTCTCAATTCATCCGTGGACTCTCGCAATCTCTCGACCTCTCTGCAAAAACAAAAAGAGACGAAGAGGGGGTGGGTGGGAAAAGGGCAAATGACGGGAGGTGGAAGTAAAGTACAGAAGAGTAAGGGGAAGTTGCAAAAATGTCACCCGGGATTTGATTATTGCAGTTTTTTTTAATAAGGCAGGCGGGCAGGGGTAGCACCACCGACCCGCGCCAGAACAGGACGACGAGGTGGGAGCTTTGGCGCACCCTAAGAAGGTACCTTCCATAGCACAGGTACCCAGGTAGGTACCTACCCTACCTTACCTAGGTACGAAGTACGGAGAACTGCACCCCCCATCTTCTCCTCTACCCACACTAAAGCCATCCCTCATCCCTCACTCATCCCATCCGGGTCATCCCAATCCCAATCCAATCCAATCCTGAACTCATACCTATGGATACAATCTGAGTCCACCATGACCAGCCAGCTCCTGTCCGCTTTCCCCCAGATTGCCGCCAGTGTGCAGTTGCAGGTGCAGGTGCCCTTGTGGCCAAGTGCAGCGCGCGCGAGCAAGCTGCAAGCACAGACGGAACCAAGGACGGCCCAGATGCAAGCCCCCCCTTCACAAGTTCACGGGCTCAAGCCGCTCAAGTGTGTTCAGGGCCGTACGGTGGTCCCACCTCTGCGCCGGTGCTTTTTTATTTTGTTTTACATATCCATGAACACCTTTTAATAGCCATTTCACTGCACCGTAATAGCACATTAGCACATCGACCTACCTTAGCATTAAGTTAGTTGGAATATTGACTTGGTGAGCTGCCTAGGTAATGACGCCTCGCGGAGCTTGGTGTGTCAGGGACGCGAGCCGTAGGGTCCCATCAGCCAACGGGGAGAGGAAACGTATTCCTGCGTCTCCTCTCGAGGTCGAGGCCAATGGAAGTCCAAGGTTAAGGTACCTACCCAACGTTGTACCATCATCCATGACAGATATCCAGCGCATTGTAATCAGCCGCCTCGTGCCGAGGACGCAAGATGAAGAAAGAGCTCAAGCTATCGATACTTTACTTTACTAACTGCCCGGGAATACCTTACCTTAACTCTACACCGACAGCACACCCTCATTCTGATCCATAACATCTCAAGGGACTTTGCCTTTCGGGGTAACATGGCCAAATTTTCACACACAGAGTTCAACCGAGAATCTCTCCTCCGCTAAACAGCTCCATCTCCAAAGGCTCCATCGACGCGCTCTTGTTGGTCCAAGGTGCCCACCAACTCCTCGACTCGACTTCTCCCCAGAGAGCCAATCAAGACTCGCCTAAATCTACCAAGCACGCGACGTATCCAACTGGGGACCCAAACGTAGTCCTCAGATATCAAGATCATCCATCCCGTGAGCCGCCATCATTCCAGCGTCTGGCTCTCTCTCACATGTCCCGTCGCTTGTTCGCTTAGTGTAGTGCTGATCTGGCCCGCGGAAAGGATAGGGACAGCCCGGCACCGCCCTGTGCATCAATGCTGCTGGTCTAGCGCGGTCGGGAGGGGTGTACGGGGAACTTTTGCTTGAGCAAGCTTGCTTGTCTGTCTGACTGTCTCTTGTCTTGTCTTCTCCCCCTCGGGTCCCGATCTGAACCACCCATACGGAGTAAATACCCAAGACCCTTTAGCAATTGAGGAAATATTTCTCCAACCCTGCCGAGCTGCCTCATTGAGCCCAAATTGCGTCGGGCAGCCTGGCCTCTCTCTGAGTCTCTGACTCGAGCCATCTTCAAGGGCCCTCGGTGGGTTTGCGGCTTGCCATTGCGAAAGAGATCCAGTCTCCAGAAGCCGCGGGCTTGACAGCCGTCGGCGGTTGTAACTTGTGAGGTAATTAGCTGAGGGCACGACCCAATGGAATCCACGGCACAAACATTCAATAAGACGTAAAGATGCCCAAAACCAATATTTCTTCTGGTCCAGTCGTCTTGCTCCAGTCTTCAGATACCACCTTTCAACTCACCTCATTCTCATCCTCACCGCGTTGGACAAATCCTGGCTAGACTGGTCGACCGACCGGGGCGCGGGTTGGCATGCCCGGTTCGTTTCTTTAGGCTCCTGGGGTCCCACAGACTCCCACTGGCTTGTGTCCGATCCATTTTTTCAGGGGTTTTCCGGGAGATCATCCAGGGGAGCCGGTGAAGGACCTTGTGCCAACGGCGCCGACGAACCTGACGGAACTCATCTCATGAACATTGCTCACGAAGTACCTACGAAGTCCACGTACTGTAGGTATCTGTAAAGAGTAAGGCAAGGTTAGCCGGCCCTCATCAGCTTCTGACAACGTCGGCAAGAGCTTGTTTCTGCGAGAGACGGGAGGATTCCCAACGTAAACAAGGCCGTGTTCTGCCGAATGTTTGGCCTTGGCTCTTGTTCCTCTCCGCTCCGTGTGTTTGACCCGGGGATACCATCCGGTGTAAAGGACCCCGTTTTCCTGCATCTAATAATGGGGTTGGCATCTGCAGGACGCGACGCAAGGACTACAGGACAGATAATCGCGTCCAGGGCAGTCATCCTCGAGCTTGCGGCGGCGGCGCTTCCCATCGCCCGCTGGTGCTGGATTCGCTGACGCTCCCGGTCCTGGTCGTCCCCTGGAGGCTGGTGGTCTAGTGTAGCCTCCCGCAGCCGCAGCATCTTGGGTCAACCTTGTCTGTCTGGGACAGTCTCGTACGGGCCCCATCAAGCCCACTGAGGAGGTCGATTCGACTGCACACCAACCAACGTTAGCAGGCTGCAGGACACTGATAATTTCCCGCCGCCTCTCGTACGGTAGCTGAAGCTGGCAACCAGTGTCACGACGTGTTTGGCCCTGATCCAGAGCAAATGACACACGCTGGCCCGTTCTTCGACCTTTAAAGGCTGTAACTTGGCATCATCCGCCCTGGACTTGACGCGAGGGAGAGGCGAGGTACTGTTGGTCGGTTGGGACCTTGCATATGATCACCGAGCATGGCTGGCACTTGCCTACCAGCTGGGAAATCGAGATCCATGTCTTTTGGCGCTTGCCTAAGCCATTCCAAGAACGTCTTGTTGGTTGTCGTATTTGAACAGCAAATCGCAACCCCTTTCGCGCTGCAGAGATTTTGATGAGGTGCAAATTACGCTTCTGCAGTTACATGCAGATACGCTGCAAATCGAGTCGTTTTCCCCCGTTGGTTGGAGCGGCACAGCTATGTTGGTGCCGAGAAGTACCTTGCGCAGGATAAAGTAACAGTGTCTGGCAGATCGCAGAGAGCTTGCAGGGTGGCTGGTAACAAATAGACCTCGAGGTACGCCGCAAATGCGTTCTGCTTTCTGGATCGGCTGTCATCGATGATCAGATTAGCCGCGAACGAACTCATGCGACTTGCCTTCTTCAAAGCAACCCAGCGGCTTTGGCGAGAAATGTGAATGTCGTTGAGTAGTGACGCAAAGCTTGACGAGATCATCTTGAGAAGATGGAGCATGTCGAGAAAGCTGGCAACATCGAAACTAACCATGATTAACTTATCAACTGCAGGCCACGTCATTATCATAGCGATTAATACATCGCGAGGTGTGAACAATCAGCAGAGTCAACATCCGGAGCAGGAGAAAGACAGTTGTTGTTTGCTCTGAATTTGTGCAGTAAAACAAGACTCAAAAAGTGCGTGCTACCTGTCCCAAAAGCTTGATCTGGGTACGTCCAGCTTAGAAAAGACAGGTTGCTTCCCAGCTTTGACATAATACCTACTGCCCCACCGTGCCTGCCTGTAGTCACCAAAGACGGGAGGAGGATTCAAGACGGACCTTCCAGGTTGAAGCTTGGTCCACCGGTTCGGAGCTCCACATGAGCTCCTTCTCCCGTCAGTGGGTGGATGCTCAGGGGATGGGGGCTCCCGGGCTGGGAGGATGGAAAGCCGGAATGGGTGGCGGCAAGTATCCGCTCTTTCCCCTCCCATTCGGAGAAGTGGATTGTGGTTTGGAGCTCACGTGACGACCGAACGCCACAATTGGCTGTGACGTGAATCTGCTCCAGCCTCTTTGTCCAGCGTTATGCAGAAGCTGGGGTAGCTTCCGGCACTGGCGCGTAGTTACTTTGGCAGCGCATCACATCTTTCGTCCACTTTTCGCCTTGCGCATCCTTCCATTTGCGCCCATCGAGGCCGCTACTGCCTAGACGAGCTGCGAATACCCCACGGAATAGATACAATACAATCTACACAATGCCTCCCGGTAAGTCCTCACCTCTTCGAACTTCACCCCTCGTGGCACTAGCCAAGTCGCGTCGAGATTGCAACAACACACTTCACGACGCGCATCCTACACCAATTCCCCATACAACGTCACAATGGCGCGTCGCAATGGCGCGTCGCAAAGCGAGCAAAGCGAACGAGGAAAAGAAGCCCAAAAAGTTAACAGCACCTATAGCTATTAGCGACGACGAGATGTCTGACGCCGGCGGCGAGATCGCCATCCCGCTGAAGGAGAAGCGCGCGAAGAGCCGATCCGCGGAATACCGAGACGACGTCAGCGAAGCTAAGAGCGAAGAAGACATTCCCATGATATCCGGCGACTTGAACGGCAGCGCCACCAAGCCTGCGAGGGCTGCTAAGGCAGACTCTGTCGTGGCCGACGAGGAGGAAGAGGAAGGCGATGATTTGGAGGCTGATGAGTACGTCACGCACACCCAATAGCTTCGCTGGAACGAGGGAGCTGACCTGCCATAGATACGTTGTCGAGAAGATTCTTGACCATCTGGCTTCCGACGACGCAAGTGCTCCTTTTCTGTTGGCAAGGCGCCTCGATGCTAAAGCGTTTTTGTAGGGCACCGTGAACTTCCGTGTGAAGTGGGAAGGTTACTCTAAGAAATCAGATCAGACCTGGGAACCGGAAGACAGCTTGAAGTAAGTTCAGACTGTAATTTTGCAATCAATGCCATCCTGGGTATCACTACTGACACGTTCGCAGGGATGGCGCATCAGAGATCTTGGAAGAATACCTTCGGAAGCTCGGTGGACGCGAGGCGCTGTTTGAGGAGAAGACCAAGGCCAAGAACACGAAGAAGCGCGGGCGTCCCAGTGCTTCGTCTTCTACACCACCAGCGAGCAGCAAGAGAGGCAAGCGCAATGGTCACCCCGCCGAATCTACCCCTCCCCTATCAGCAAAGGAGGCCAAAGCCAAGGCCTGGACATTGCCCAGCGGCAGCTGGGAAGACGACGTCGAGTCGATTGATGCCTGCGAGGACGAAGAGTCGGGCTCTATTATCATCTACCTCAACTGGCGAAACGGCCAAAAGACTAAGCATCCCAAGGAGGTGGTGTATAAGCGGTGCCCTCAAAAGGTATGGTTCCAAGCATTTCAGCGCATGACGATACTGACGGATGCTTAGATGCTGCAATTCTACGAAAAGCACATTCGCATCATCAAGGCGGGACCTGACGCCGATCTTCCGGAGCTTGATGCCGCGCCTGAGGCTAAGATGTAGAACACCGAAAAAAAAAGGGTGCCGTACGTGGAATTTTTTTGCGAAGGGATCGGCGTTTGGGCTCATGATACATCTGATATCATCAGCAGGCTCTTGAGCGCCGTTGGCTTGGCCTCTGCTCGTTTTTCTATTTGCTCATTTTCAGTCCTCGGACTAAGTCTCAGTAGACCGTACCTAAATCAGGTCTGGGGCGTCGAGGATCCGGATTGTGGCGGGCTTGCTTTATCCGTTTACAACCGAATTAGCGGGAGGAAGTGTGCTTTACGATGTCGCTTCGTAATTTCGGGAGAGGCAAAAACTGCAAGTTCACATCTCAATTGCCGCAGCTGATGCATGAGTTGCGCCTCATTGTGGAGGACGGTGAGCCTCCTACGGATATATCCCCGATGAGTATCCGTAAATGCAGCCTGAGTTGGCAGGAATCTCTCGGCCTTCATATAGTACGATAGAGCTCTCCTCCATTGCCTCATGCTAGGCAAAAACATGGTCTCAAATTCGTAAAGGGCACTTTATCCATGTCATCAGGCAGAAGCTGCCGAGTGCTAGATCCAGGTACGATGCAGGTACAGCTCAGTCGAGCGCAAGTAGCGCATCCGGGTCTGCCAAGGTCACGATGCACACAACTTGACAGCAAAATGTACATCCGACCTCTCCCCCAAGAAAGACAGGCTTACTGCGACAAGGGTAAGAAACCTGCATGTTGCGAGAGTCCGCGAGGTTGGGTAGTGGAGGACGTCGACAGCAAGCCTGTCGGGATACCTACCCCACTAAAAAGCAGCTTTACATCCCTGCATCACAGGCGGTTGGACGAGTGGGAGAGCCTGAAAGCTGCTGGTAGCGTTGTCGCGGATTTTTTTTTTGCCCAGGGTGGTGGTGGTGGTGCTTGTGCTTGGTGGTGCGGCGCGACCCAGCCTCTCACATTTCTATTGACTTTCGGGTTTGAGGCTGGGGGGGGGGGGACGACAGCTTGGGAAAGCTGGTGGCGGGGCAACGCTTCTTTTTAACGTGAGGCTTGCCCGCGCTGCATTCCTCAACACTCCCATTCTCTCTTTACTTCTGATACATTGCATATCATCGTTGCGAAAAGGGTTTATCACTGACCTCGGGATTTTTTCTTTCAATTCCCTCCTCTCCCCATCAACCTCGACTGAGTGAACAATTCCATTGTCCACTCTGGGTCTCGACCGCCAACCTTACCCACATCTTGGACCCATACAGTTCGGCACTTGACGAATTCGTAGCAAGGACTTGAGCTGCTCGTCCGCGGGTTGAAATCTCACTTCACCCTCACGTTCCCAAAACTCCAACTGGAATTCGAATCAAGGGCACTTGTCTAACGGGCCATCCATCCCAAAGACACAGACAAACCCCCTTCCTCGGACCGTTGAAAGATACCACCAAACTCAATCGTCTTCCCGAGACCACCACATTCCACGGTGTCTCCGCCCAGACCCCCTCCGTGTCTCTTCCTCCTTCCAGCCACCGGCTCTCCACACAAGCTGTCCCCGCACCGTTTCCACATCGGCGCCGGTTCACTCCAACCCCCCCCCCCCGCCACCAAACAATCATCGCGGCCGTTGGAGCTCCGTCAGTTTCACTTCAGACCTGACGTTTGAACTCCCCCAAAAACCACCACACAATAGTCCAAAAAGGACGCACAGTCCTTAGCCAGCAGCCATGGTTAAACAGAACGACGTCATCGCGATCATCGTCATCGTGCTGTTCGTCGTGCTCGCCCTTGTCGCATTCGGCATCTATAGGCTAGTCCACGTCGCACGCCAGAGCATGAGCGTGACGTCTGGGTCGAGTAGTAGCAGCTCCGACGAGATTGTCGACGACTGATCTACTCGCCGTTTTCTCACGGGGTTTTTTGCTCATCGCTGCAGCCCGCTGTTGCTTCTGCCGCAACTACCATCATCGCATTTACACTGAGATACCACGACAGTAATATTTACGCAAGAAAGCGCCGTCGCACTTTTTTTTGCAACTTTGAGAGCATTACGCCAAGGCTTCGGCTGAGACTACGACAACGAAAGGGAGAAAGAAGGGAATTGAAATCTGAGATGAGTGATAATGAGGAGGGGAAAGTTGGGAAATATGGAAAGGGATATGAGACATGATTTATCGGCATTTTTATCTGGCATTTGCGCAGCATTTTCTTACCGTACAAAGGTGGGTCATTTTGGGTTACAAGATGCAGCAAAATGTGTCTTTGGAGGGGAGGAAGATATCTACGAGTGTATGATACTGGATCTGGAGTGGGCTCCGCCGGGGTTGGCGAACGACCTTGTTTTTGAAAGGATGAAGATGAGCCCATGTATATAGAACGAATAAGTGGGATGAAAGGGGCCTCTCAAGGCTAAAGATGGAATAGAAATGACTACCAGATGTCACCGTACTAGGCAAGATCGATGCACCATTGGTGACAATTTAAAGAGGAATGAGGTTTGAGGAGAGGTAGATAAGGCTGTTCGTCGTGGCAATTCGGACCTCATCCCGGCAATGTAGGTAATCGTCAGGTTGTCGCAGCACGAGCGCCATTACACGTGGCAAAGGTCTTGTGACTAGCTACCTGTAGCTATTCCCAAGTCGGTTCCAAAGAGCTCTTCAAGTAGCCGATCTCAAGGGTGTCGTATAGTTCGTCCGTCAATCACGGTCATGATTCACGTATTCGTAGTCAGGTAATCACGAATATATTCGATAGCGCTTAAGAAGATGCTAAGAAGTATTCGTGACTGCCTAATCACAAATGCGTTGAAAGGCTGCTAGGAGGATGCCAAACGGCTCTGTTTTCACTGATTCCAAGGGATAACCTAAGGGTAGGTAAGTGATTGCACATTAATACCCGTGTTCGGAGGTCAAACCCTTTCAATGATGGAGTTGCATCAGATGCGAAGCTACGCTGCGTTCGATAAGAACAAAGGATTTCTTTCTTGAGAGTATAAGCTTCTTGACTTTTTAAAGAGTGCTACGGCATTGGCACTACTCTTATCTCCTGTATGTATGTATGTGTGTGTGTGTGTGTGTGTGTCTTTCTGCACAGCCAAGTCCAACGACCGGAGTTTGTTCTTTGGGGTCAGACTTAAAGATTGCAGACCGGGTGTAAGTTGCTTTGGTCTTTGTCAAGATCTTGGAATGAATTCTACTCCAAAGTTTTTTTATTAGAAGCTTCCCGGTCCAAGTGGCATAGCTAAGCTTGAGAACAGCATTGAGTTCAGAGCCCAAGTGACAAGAGCCCTCTCTGCCCCGTTAATGTCCATGGTAATGCTATGCGATACAATCCGCTGTTGGAACATGAGAAAAGTACTAAATCACTGCCGACGGGAGAGGCTCAACGTTGCATTACAAGTGGACCTTGTAGATAGCCTGGTTGAGAGAGCCGTTGTCCGGGTCAACGCTAAGGCTGAAGCATGTGTTTGCTCGGAGGAAAAGAAACGAAGATTTGATTGTCTCAGAGACGAATAGTTGGAGCGAGCAATATCGGGCGAATGGTCTCGTAAACACTTCATGCTCATCGGACATGAACACTCTTGGAGCAGAATACCACACAGAATGGTGGCGAGGCCAGCATACATTACCTCTTTGCCGACTCCTTCTCTGATGGAAAAGCCAGTCGATTGATTGGAACTCAAGAATAACGCGGATGATTCATACAAATCAAAGAAGCAAAAACAACAGGAGCCGACCGAGGTTCAAACGCCGTAATCCTGAAAAGTACGGAGCATCACGGACTACTAGTCAGCACTTCGCGACGTTCACCATTCGGTCACCAGGCCCGATATTTGTTGTTACGATGGTAAGGCACTAGACTTCTGATAAGGGCTACTGGTTCAAGCCAAATGTGTGTATACACGCTGGAAGTTTCGGTATATTCCATACATATCCAGTCCCGTCCGCATATCAGACTCGACATGTCATGTGTTTTGCATACAAGTCACCTTGGACGTTAAAGAATGTCTCCTAGCGAAGATAAAACGCAAAAGTTTCCTCTGACTTATCACAGCTAACGCTTCTTTCTTTCCAATTAAGTAAATTCTAATACGGAAGCCGGGCTTGCCTGAGGCGAAACGCTATGGTATTGAGTTGGTCATGGGATATCGGGGGCCGATAGCCAGAACTCAACGAGGTATATGGGCCAATATCATGAGTGGAGTACACGTGTATAGTGAACCTATGCTTGAGATAGAATCGATCGTCAAGTATGGAGTGGAGATATCTGGAAGAAAAGCGCTGTATTAACCACTACTTTATTGTTCATATCGGGGAGCACAGGGAGAGACCGCCATACATCAGCGATGCTCCGCTTTGTTTCTCAATTCAATTGATTATCTTTCAAAGCGATCTCTCCATCTGAGCATCAAATATTTAGTTTTCGTCCAAAAACTAAAAGAAAGTACTCGGTTGCGAGGCAAGTCGAGGTATCAAACCTCTGAAAGGGTATTGCCGACTTCAGACAAGGCCGCTCCGGAGGAAACATATTGACTGTTGCCGACGCAGCTAAAATATTCGAGGTCTTGGCAAATAGACCAGAGAAGAGAAGAGCACGTGTTAAATACTCCACTGGCGCTTGCCTACATCAAAACGCTCATAGCTAGACCAATACGGATTTAACGAGCTCTCAACTAACTAGACAACAAAGAAGACGAGAACTAAGCAGAAACACCACCAAAATGAGCGCATCAAACGGCGGCCTCGACTTCAACTACCCCGCCCGCAACAAGACCCTTGACCAAGAGCAGATAGAGGTGGGCTACGTCGACGGAGACGGTAACGCGCTATTCAACGACTGGTACCGAGAGGACGGCCCACAACTGTTCACGGGAGAGGTTCCCAAGTTACGTGCAGGGAACTTTCTCAAGAACTGTAAACTCCCAGACAGCACGTACTTCACCGCTGGGGTGATGCCGGACGGCAAGGCCAGGCTCCGCTGCATGAGAGAATGGCCGTGGAAGGAGTGCAAACGGACGCTGGAAGAGCATAAAAGTTGGCGTGTGAAGTATACGGTAGAGGACACTATCTAATTCCATGGCCGTGATATACAGCCGATAGGCAGGGAGGACACGGAGGATACAGTTCAATATGCCCAGAGGAGCCCTCCGCGGGACCAATCTCAGACTCAGGTGGCCGAGGAGCGGGAGGAGGAGGGTGAGGCGAACGAAGACCAGAAGGCTAGTGCTTGGACATCTGGTGCTTGGTCACTTAGTGATAGGACGAGGGTGTCTTCATGGCGGACCTATGACGTTGGGAGGTGCCGTTGGGAATAGTCGTGCATTGGCTGCTGTCCATGATGTGCCCTAGATTGTTGAAAACGTCGAAGAAAGAAAGGCACATGAACTGACTAGCTTGGGTACAATGAGAAGACTGGATGAAAAGTCATTGATCTGATGAGACTGAAACAAATCGAGACCACCTGTCACTATTGAAGTCGAACATTTGTCTTTCTCACCGCCAATGACCTCCTAAAGCATTATCACCAAAGTTGTTTTAGAAAGTACTTACCCCATCGTCATCGGCGCTCGCATGGTTATCATCTGAGAAAACTCGCGAGAGAGCAGACACAACGAACAAACTCAAGAGACATATTTGAAAGCTGGATTGCCCCTCTCAGAATTAGAATCATGCGTGGTTCTTACCAAGTTCATGAAGTGAGGTCAAAGAAAGGAAATTCCAACACCTGAGAATAAGGACGACGTTGTTTGGAAGCGAGAGGAGATACTGCAGGGACCACCCCCGCCATCAGGGAACCCCGGACGGTACGTACCTGTCACCTCTTTAACCCACTGACGCGCCCCAGCACGTCAATCGCGTCTCCCGCTTGACCACTTTCACGAAATTTCCCGTCCTCCAGCCTGGTGATACCCCGAATCCACGATCGACCAACGAAAGCAACTACACCATCTGAATCATTCCCCTTTGCACCTATCCTCCAATTCAGAAAGCTAGACACAGCGACACCAACCACCGAGCACCCCCGGACAAAGATGCCCGTCCTAAGCCGCAGAGGCCAACGCCGCCCAGAAAGGCGCATCGCCGATGACGAAGAAGACGACGACTCCAGCTCCCAGAACCGCCTCCCAGAATACGAACCCCTCTCCTGCCCGCTCACAGCGGAAGCGAAGCGCGCCATCGCAGACCTCTCCAACAGCCGCGACGTCCACCGCTACGAGAACCACCTGAAGGCCTCGATACGGCACCTCGGCTTCTCCGTCGTGGGCATCAACGACGCCGTCCGCATACGGCACGAGGCCCTCGCCCGCTTCGCCGAGAAGCGCGCCGAGTCGCAGTCGCAGGGCGTGGACAGCAAGACGGACCTCGACAGCCAGGATAAGCCCCAGCGCGAGCTCGACATCGAGGCGCATACCGCCGCGCTGGACGAAGAAGTGCCCCGCCTGACGGCCGAGGCCGAGACCGCGCTGCGCGATCTGATTGACAGGCAGACGGAACTCCTCGACGAAAAGGCCGCGCTCGCGGACACGGTCAACTACTTCCAGACGCTCCCCGAACAGGCGCCTCTCCAACGCGGCGGGCGCACACGGGCAGAAGCCAATGGCCGCGGCGGCGGCGACCCGGATGAGGACGACAACGACGCGGCGGACGAGAGCGTGCTACCGCCGCCACCAGAGTACTCCGTCATCGACATCCTCCGCCAGCAGCGCGCTGAGAAGCTGACGGAGTACGAGCGCATGACGGCATACCAGCGCTACGCCGTCAACAACGACTACGCGGCCTTCAAGAAGTTGTGGCATGACGCCGCGCACGGCGACGCCGAGGTTTCCTTGCCAAACGCGAAGCGCTGGTTCGACGATGCCGGGAACCCCGTCATGCCCGTCGTGTCCCGGGGCGGTGGAAATGCCAATGGCGAGCCGGCCGCAGCTGCGGAGGCAGATGATAGCGACGATGATCTCGTCATTGCAGGAGAGAATAGGGAGTACAGGTGTCCGTTGTCCATGCAGCTGTTCCAGAACCCCGTCAGCAATAACGCGTGCAGCCACACGTTTGAAAAGGCGGCCATTACAGAGTTCCTGCGTAGGTCGCCGGGTCATCGCGCGCAGTGTCCCGTGGCTGGCTGTTCCAAGGTACGCTTTATTTGCGAGTCTCGACGAAGAGGTGGCGCCCACATCTTTAGGGCTTTGCTTTCCAGAAGAGAACACTGTGGTAACTAACGTGAAACACAATAGGAAATCACTCTCACGGACGTCTATGATGATCCAGTTATCCTGCGCAAGATGAAGCGCGCTTTAGAACAGCAACGCCGTCGGGAGGAGGAGGAAGAAGAGCGAGAGGACGACAACTCGGACGGAAACGGAGATGATGATGAGCCGCGGGTGGTGAAGCGGGAGGGTCGTTCCGCGGGGAGGAAGAGGCGCAAGGTAGAGGAGATTGTCGATGATGACGAGGAGTGAGGGCGGGCGTGCTGGTGCTGGTGCTGTTTATGCTGCGGCGAACAAGATCTGGCTTTCTGAAATGCGCCCTATTCGGGACGATAGACACAGAGCAGAGAGACGGAAAACGAAGTAATGATACCCCCAATATTCAACAATCAGATGAAAATTCACCGACACTGATGTTTGAGCTAAATGGAATGCTTTATAATTATATACGTTTGACAAAACCACATTTTGACTCCTTGCCATGCATGCGTACGCGCGCTGTCAGTAAATTATGCTCCCCAAAAAAGCGCAAATCCTTCATCTATATATCTTCCTCCCAGATTCCAGTCCACACACGGCACTCCCAGGGCTAAGTGGTGCTTCGTGAGGAACAACCCCCCCGCGCCCCTTTACGCAGTCCCATCACAAGCTCTCGCCAGCGCGACGCCAGCCCCCAACAACGAGCTCTCCTTTGCCGGCACGAGCTCGACGCTCCTGTCGCTCCTGTTGACCAGCGCGTTGACGTACGTCTGGCACATTGCCAGGTAGCCCGGGTAGCACTCGATGACGCTGCCGTTGTAGGCGACCATTGTTCGTGCCAGAGAGGTTTCTTTTTCTATTCTCTGGTGAAGCTCCGCCTCCGCCACCTCTTCCTGTTGCGTTGCCTCTTGGTTTGAGGCTGTCGTCCTATTCGTCTCCTTTTCTTCGGCTAGCGCCTCGAGACGGAGGGACCAGACGGCGTGTATGCACGCTGCGATGATGGCGGCTGATCTCCTTGAGACGAAGGAGGCTAGGCTGCGGAGGGCGAAGAGGTCTGATGGTGTGGGGGTGTGGGATGAGGGGTGTTGCGCGATGAATAGGTCGATGGAGGACGATAATGATGGCGATGTATCTCTGTAAGAATGATTAGCTCAGTTATTCATGTTGAAAGGTGAGGAGTGTGTGGAAGTCAAGTTACCCTTCAATAGCAGAGATCGTTTCGGATTTCAAAGAGTACGGCTCATCAAGCGACTTGGGCACCACGCCGCCAAACACACCCGTCGTCCGAATCGCCTCGATCAACGCAAACCGCACCACCTCGCCGAGATAGTACCCGCTAACCATCTGCTCCAGCGGTTGGAAATCCGGCCTCGGGTGCCCTTGCTTCAGCAGCCCGTCCCAGCGCGTGACGCCGAGGACGCCCTCGCCGCCAAACATGCCGAGCTCCGTGTTGACGATGACGTCGCGCGCCTCGCTCCACCACTCCTGCGGACGATCCCCGAACTTGGGCCGGCCGACCAAGGACACGGGGAGATGGGCGGCGATGTTGACGCCGGTGCCGAGGATGAGGCCGAAGCGGGTGGCCGGGTGGACATAGGCTTGGGAGAGGAGCGTGGCGCCGCCGTCGTTGAGGATGACGCGCAGCCGGGCGCCGGTCATGCCCTTGGCTGCGCAGGCGGTTTCGATGACCTCGCCGAGGTCTTGGCCCATGAGGCCTTCGGCGGCGAGGAAGCCTTTGCCCATGCCGTGAATGCGGCCGCCTTTTAGTGATGTTTGCCTTTACGATGGTTAGTTTCGTCGAGGAAACGTCGAAGCGTTACATATTGGGACAGTAGGGACTTACTCGATGGGAAAGCTCCATGCCAGGGCCATGGGCATAGACCGTGAAGGGTCCTGACCATCCTGTGACACCATGTCCCGTATCCTCTCGGCCATCCAGTCGAAAAACGCCATGCCCTCCAAGTTCCTGATGTCGTTGTCGATCTTGAACGAGCTCATCCGTACAATCTCGCTCTCCCGGCCCACGGCGTCACGACCCCGCAATTCGACCAGCGCGATACGCAACGTCGATCCCCCCACGTCTACCGCCAGATACTGACCGACTTCGTGCCCGCCGGGGAGCTGATGGTTGTACGAGGGAAGCATGCAGGCCATGCTCGTCTGCAACCTGTCTCTGAACTGAGCCTTTAGGGCGTTGGACAGATCGAGTAGGCCATCGTCGAGTAGGGGACCCAGAAGTAGGTGCTCTGCCTCCTTTAGGTATTCCTCTACGCTCTGGCCAGAGGGCGTCGTCGTCCCAGATGTGCAACAATCCACCTTTGAATCCGTCGGTTTCCCTGAGACGGGCGTGAGCCAGAACGCTAAAAGGGCTTGAATCAACGATTTGCCCCGGAGTAGCTGCTTGACGACGGCGGCCAGGAAAGACTTTGGAAACGTGGCCATGGTAGGTGGTGAATATGGCTGCATGACATCAAGAGACTTTTTTTTATGAAACGGAGAAGTCACAATCGGTGCCGGATCATCTAGCTGACGAGGTATTGGATTGTAAATGAACGGAATCGGGCACGAGCCATGTCCCCCGGAGACAGGCCTTTGAGATGGGTGAAAGAGTGAGATGGTAAGAGTGAAGGTGTGAGAGGGAGAGAGAGCGAGGAACAGTGAAAGGTAAGTGTAGTGGAGGGTTGCAAAGATGTCTGATCGAACGTTTAAACGAACTCCACGGCGGACGGTAGACGGACTGGTAGCGGATCGACAGGCACAACCCGAGAGGGTGACTGGCGCACCGCACGGAGGGCAGAATAACAGTGAATGGAACCTGCCGGCCCCCCTTGGTTCTACTGCTCGGGTTGGCGGTCGGAGGCCAGAGACGTCGTATCCAACAAGAACGGCAGTGGGAAGAACAACAACAAAGTGGAGAGGGCAGGCGGGAGAGAGAAGGGCGATGGCGACACCGACCAGCAGCCAATGGGTCACTAAACAGAAGGTTGGTCGGTGTGTCTTGGTGTCTTGGATGAGAGGCGGAGTGAGAGGCAAGGTAGTGGGCAAGGTGAGAAGCGGGAACGACCGAAGGTTGTCTTCCAGGTTGTCTTCAACGTCGCACAGGCGATGGGGCGACACGCGGGAATACCAAGGCCTGGTTCATCTGGTCTAGTTCAGTCCAGGCTCGATGCTCCAATCCACTTCCATTCAATTGGGGGCCGAAAGCTCGTGTTGATGGATGGATGGATTCGGGAGGGGGGAAGGGCCCGCGTTGCCTCGTAGTTGGTTGAGAAGGTTTATTGGGAATTGCAGGGGATAGAGAGAAAGACAAGATAGTGAGAGTGTGTACGAGAGGAATGAAACCTCAGCTTGGCCGATAGATGAGAGTTGAGCGCATGCAACGATGAAAGTGTACGATAGGTAGGAGAGGAGAGACCTCTCGAAGGCTAGAAGGTACGCTATGAGTTTGAGACAATAGCCACAAGTGGCACTTGGATGGGAGCAAGTTAGGAGAGACGATGTGCTGGGACACGCTGGAAGACGCCCAGGATTGGTAAGTTGGCCCAATGGACCTTACGCTGAGCTTGAGCTAAGGTAGATAGCTGTCTGCTAGACGCGATGGGCACTGTCTGACAATTGTGGTTGAGATTGTTGATCGGGGAGAGAGAATTGCCCCTCCAGTTGTAACGTTGCTTTTTGATAGTTACGGAACTTGGAAGCTGTGAGTGTGGTGTGGCTGACCAAATCAGATGAAAACGGACAGCGACTCCGGCGCTTTCGGAGCCAAAGGAAGGGTCGATCCCCCACTCTGTCACTCTCTGTCTGAATTGTTAAGATCCACTACCACAGTTACATGCAACAACCAACATCTCTCAAGACTCCATCACAACGTACTCCGTCCTGCCTGCCTACACAACCCTACCAGGAAATGAGGAACCATGAAAGCTTCCCTCTTTGACGATGTACTTCCATGCGCGCCGTTGCATTCGCATCTTCTCCTCTACCCGCCCTGCCTGGTTGCCTTTACCAACCTGTCTCTTGTCTCAGCCAATCATCACCACCAATGCCGAGCCCTTTACCACTGCACCACGTCTCATAGCAATCCGGTACATGCCTGACCAACGACTGAGCCGCCGCTGACCTTTCAAGGTCAAACCATTCAAGATACCGCACGAGCGGTCCCATCAATTATGTATCCGTCCCTCTATATGAAGGGTCGACACCAAGTAGCCGGTCGGTCGGCGGCAACCATGCCCGTTACGTTAGATCGCTCGCTTCAGTCCCCACGTATCAGTTGCATGCAAAGCACGGCATCCCCCTAGGCTCTAAGCTATCCACCCCCCTGCTACCATGCAGTGACATGCAATCAATCGTCAGCCGCCAGGTTGCAGGAAGCTCAGGGACCCCAAAGAGCCAAGGAGGCCCCGAGTTCACGGACGCCGGCCGTGTCAACGACAAGCGACCATCATCGCCACCCCGTGCGCGCCGATATCGAAACATCCACACAGTAGAAGCTTCAGAAGGCAGCTACCTATTCCAAGCTTGGGCCTCCATGCTCTGGGTGCTGGGGAGTCATTGAACCCGACCACATGGCTCCTTCAACACCACCATCGCCCCGCCTGGGAAAACAGGAACATGCCCGGACCCTGGCCCGGCAAACCCGGGGAAGCTCGGCTCAACTCGAGTCTAAACCGCAAATGACGATATGTTATCTTGGACAAAAAAAGGTCTGCCTGCAACAAGATGATCACAAAGGTACTGCTCATCACTAGACTCCTCATTAGTTCCGATTCTCCCTCTCATTCGTAGAAACGTGCTGATGATCATGTCAAACCATTGCCCTTTGGTACACCAACTCCGCTGTTCCTGAGTCGAGAGCGCTTCGACATCCAATCCTTTGGAAGGGAAACTCGGCCGATGAAAAAAAAACCTGGGACGGGCAACGTTGATGATGTACTTACACTATGTTCCCTTCCCCGCCGGGCCGGCTGGTGGTGGGACTCTGCTCCTCAAACACCACCGATAGCAGTGACGTTCCATCCCCCTCCACCACACAAACGGGGTTGAAGGTGGGAAAATCTTCAGTAGACTTTGGGGCTGTTGCCGCAAAAAGTCTGTGATGTCAGGCTTCTTGCGACGAGACGAGCCCGGGGAGGGGGTGAAGCCCCTTCAAGGAGGGGAGTGTGGGCGAACCGCAAAACTTTGCCCGTCTTCCTGGGTGTAATTGCTCCCTCATAAGCAACGGTGCTTTTCACCTTGCCCCCCCTTCGTATCTTTTCTATTCTCTATCCTCACAATACGAAGCTGAAAATACCTGCAAGTCTAACTTCATCTGCTCTTGTATCCATCTCTGCCCTATACTTCTTCGTATCATATCGTATCGTTGTACCTTTCCATATTCGTATACACACATCCACCCCCACGATGAGGCTCATCATCCGCGACGATGCCGAGGCCGCCAGCGCCTACGTAGCCAACTACGTCGTTGATCGCATCAAGCACTTCAACCCTACCCCGGCTCACCCCTTCGTCCTCGGCCTGCCTACAGGAAGCAGTCCGCTCGGTGTATACAAGATCCTTGTTCAGAAGTACAAGGCTGGAGAGGTAGGACCCGTGTCTCTCAACTAACACCACTATCAAGAACATCGTTACTGACTTTTTTGTTTGTGAACCCACAGATCTCTTTTGAAAATGTCATCACCTTCAACATGGTACGTGAACCACTCATACCTATCCTCCTGTGAACTCATCCTAAGAGACATCACAGGACGAATACGTCGGCATCCCCCGCGACCACCCAGAATCATACCACTCCTTCATGTGGAAGCACCTCTTCTCCCACGTCAACATCCACCCCCAAAACGTAAACATCCTCAACGGCCAAAACCCAAACCTCGAAGCCGAGTGCGTCGCCTACGAATCCAAGATCAAAGCCGTCGGCGGCATCGACCTCTTCCTCGCGGGCATCGGCGAGGACGGGCACATCGCCTTCAACGAACCCGGCAGCTCCCTTGCCTCCCGCACCCGCGTCAAGACGCTCGCCTACGACACCATCCTCGCCAACTCGCGCTTCTTCGGCAACGACGTCGACCAGGTGCCCCGGCTTGCGCTGACCGTCGGCGTCCAGACTGTCCTCGAGGCGCGCGAGGTCGTGGCCATCATCCTGGGCGCGAAGAAGGCGCTCGCGCTGCAGAGGTGTATCGAGCAAGGTGTGAACCACATGTGGACGCTGTCGAGCTTACAGCTGCACCCTCACCCCATGATCGTCGTCGACGAGGACGCGACGCTCGAGCTGCAGGTCAAGACGGTCAAGGTAAGTCCCCTATCCTCCCTCCCTTTCCCCTACACCACCAGCACCACGAACCAGGGAACTGACACCAAACGTCAGTACTTCAAATCCATCGAAAAAGTAGCCCGCGAACAAGGCTTCGAACAAATCCTCCCCTCCAAAATCCGTACCGGCCCTTCCCCGCCCCCCATACCCATAACCCGCATCGACGAAGTCGACACCCCGACAATCCTCCACCCGCAACCCACAACCTCGCGCCTGCTCCGCGCCTCCCCGGCGACAGAGTACCCAATCCGCTCGCGCTCCACGTCCCCGGACATCGAGCTCGTCTTCGAGAGCATGGCCTCCCGCACAAAGTCCCCCTCCGAGCAACAGCTCCGCGCCGTGACGCCTGATCTCGTCACGGACAGGATGGCGGAGCGGATCCCGGGGGTTCCTGCGCTTGCGGGACGGTTGACGCCTAATCCGGAGCAGCAGCAGCAGCAGCAGACTTCTTCGATTAGTAGATCTGCGACGCCCGAGTTGGTACCGGATCGTATGGCGTCGAGGATCCCCGAGCCTTCGCTTGCGAGGCGGTTGACGCCGAACCCGGAGCAGCAGATGATGTCGCGGGTAAATGCCGTTGGTGCTTGAACGACGGGACACCCTTTGATTCTTTCGTTTTGTGATTTTGTAAGCATATTTGGAGACTTTTACCCCTTTTTTTCTTTTTTCTTTTTTCATTCACTCGCTAGATGCGAAGCAAATTGAGAGATGCATTGCGGAGAGGCCTCAAACAGAATGTAGCATAGTAGACTACGGCCAAAATAAAGGCAAGGGAAAGAAAAACTTCATGAGACTAGATTTATGACTTGGTGGTATAAGAATGAGACTTTTGTGTGAGGAAGCAAAATTACCCCTGAACTGGGGGTTTGTAGAGCAGGTCTCGCAGTGTACTAGATGAAGGCACCTGAAAAATGAATTAGAAGAATGTTAAGAGGGTTGCGTACAGTATCTTCCTGTGTTGCATCTTTTGGATGTTTGATACGTCAAGTACCGTGTAGCATGCAACGCTGCGAATGAAAAACCCGACCTCTGAAAGGAGCCGAGCCGATCAAAGTCCATCGTTTTGTATTTGAGTCTCTTCGTCACCTACAACTCGGGTATAACCGCATCAGACCTAATTTCCCAATGTCACCCAATGCCCTTCACCCAATATTCCCGACTCTCGTCTCTGCACATCCGTAGCAAGCAGCTCAATGTAAAACATTACCGTATAATACACATCCAAGATAAGGAACCAAGCGAATAAAGGGAAAATAAAAAACGAACAAGATGCGGCTTCGTCAATTCGTATCAAATATGCCCCCATATATCCGTATATAAACCTACGATTCGGCAGTAAAATACCTCTTTGCCTTGCTCCGAAGTTGCTGTGCCTTGATTTCTGGCGGTACAATGGTGTGGTGCACTACATGAGGGCGATAGATTGCCTCGACTGGCGGCATCCTGTTGCATGTTAGCATGTTGCGAGCCATGGTAGACTTTCACGTCGGCAAACTTACCAGTCGTCCACGCTGAGCGGAAAGTATTCATAGAGCAGATCGTCCTCTTCCTTGGGACTCTGACTCGGGTTATGGCCAGCCGCCGCCGTGGATTTGGTGAACTGCGGGCTCTGCACGTCCGAATTCGATCTATTCGGACTCCTCTCGTCTTCTGAGAGGGACAAGTTTATTGGGCCGGATATTGCACCACGCGACACCGACATGGACGCCGATGCCCTGCCCAGGCTTCTCGAGGGATCCGAGGACCAAGCCGGTATGGGTGGTCTGTTGATACCCGGTGACATGGCGAGCTTCTTCGCCGGTGGCTGGCCCCCGCTCGACTCACGATATAGCTGAGGCGGCGCCCAGTCTGCTGGTTGTTGAACGTTTCCAACAGTCTGATATTTGGGTACCGGCGTGGGCATGCCGTTGTTGCCGCCATTCTCCTTCTGGGGTGTTGCAGCGGTAGCGTCGCTGTTGCTCCTCCCGCCGACCTTCTTATCTCCACCTGTCAGGGGAATGTCCTTCCGGCTGTCGAAATTCCTCGGGCTGCGGCCTCTGACGATGACGGGGCCGGAGTGAGTTTCGGCAATCTTGATGTATTCGCCCGACTGCAGCTTGCCGACCAAACTGATTTCCACAATGTAATGTTGCTGGAGACCCTTCCTCCTTCCGTTGTTCGCCGTCGCGTGCTTGAACTGTAGCCTCTTCCACGATAACGGCAGGGAAACCCTGTTCGCATCCACCTCTTGCCCGTTGGCCAGGTCCAGGACGATATTGGGCGGTCCGCCATTGGACTTGGGCTCCTCGGCGCCTATGGGATGCGCGCTCTTCCAAGGTATTGATATGATCTCCGTGATCTTGCCCTCGATGGACTCGATGGCCGTTATCGAGGCGGACAGCTCGAATATGGGCATCTGCCGCCCCTGCTCGTCCACCACGTGGGTAATGTGTCGCGGTATGGTTACCTGGCCAGAGCACTGCCACAGGTTCCGCCGGTAGCACGTCAACTCGAGGGGTCTGCCGCTGTTCTCGGCGCCAAAGACGTCCTCGGCAACGAAGAACATGCCGTACAGCTCGGCAGTCATGCTGGGTTCTACATGTTGGCCCGTCCCGTCCAACAGCGTCGCTTTCAACGTTGGAGCCGAAAACCCAAGCAGCTTATTGTCCAGCTCCTGCGTGGGCGAGTCCTGGTTGAAATCCTCGGGGGCGGGCGGTACCTCGTACTGTCGATTTGAGTATGCGAAGGGGTCTTCGAAGCCTGTTGCGGAGAATTCTTCGAAGCCGTAGGTGGGCGTAAATGGTAAGGTGGGAAACGTTCCATTGACGGTATCTCTACGGGGAGCAAGAAAGCCAGGCGCGTGTTAGCCAAATTGACTTTCGTCTCATGGTTGCGACCAGGTGGTAGCAGCGCGAGAGCTGACGCTCCTGCGTATTTCCAGCCTCGCCAAGTGCCGAATGACGACGGGAGGGCACTTACAGCAGTGAATCGTCAAAAAGAGAAGAATCTATGCCGTCGACCACGGCACTATTGAGACTCATGCCGTCGCCGGGCGTCGCGCCGGACGACAATGAATGGAACGCAGCCATGGCATGGTAGTAGGACTTGTGTAGCGAGCGCCGTGCCGACGATGCGCGCAGCTACCTACGCCTATCGGGTGGGAGAGGTTGTCTGGGGTTGGCTGTACGGGTCCAGTGTCAAGCAATGCCGGATGGAAAGTTTCTAGAAAAAAAAGCTCCGTCGAGCAAAAGGATTGCTTGCGACCACTCGGACAAGCGCAAACAAGTAGAAGGACTTGAAGTGGTTGGAGCTGGTGGCCTAACGAGTGTCAATGGGAAATACAAAAAGCGGAGGGTTTCCTCGAAGGCTTCGGCTTCCGGAGAGAGAAAGCGTGGAGTCGAAGCGCGAGAAAGAGGGAAGGAGAGCACCTGCCAGCAGTGTCCACCCCTATCAGGACACCCGTGTACCGTCATTGGCTGACTGTTATCGCACTGTAGAGGCAGGGGATTAAAGTAATGGCACCAAGATGCGGGGGGGGGGCTCAAGGATGCGTCTCCAAGCTCTTGGGGCGAGTAATTCAATGGGCCGATGGTTCCCGGAACACAGTTGTTGTTACTGTGCACAACATCACCCTTTCTCTCACTCATCAACCAACGTCTAAGGTACCTCAGATACCGAAGGTAGGTAAGTTGAGACAACCTCATGGATCATTAATAAATCTTTAACCCGTGGCCCGAGTGTCGGTGTCTACCTAATCTACGTCGACGTTGTGCAACCATCCTCTAGTAAAAGAGTCAACCAAACTCTGGCCAGGACTAAGCGAGGCCCTCTCTACTTGGTGTTACCAGTAACCAGCCCCAGCCATCTCAGAAACTTTATCTGCGCATCCATTTGCACCATCAAGTTCGGATGGCAGCTCTATGAATATACAGTCTATTGTAGGGCTCGACCCTGTCCTTCTCTCTTCTCTTACGTTGTTTCTTCCCTGTATGATACTTATCCCCGGAATCTTGACTCGTGTACTTCGTACAGTTCGTCATTCTATGGCGTAATCGGCGACTGATCATCCTTTCTGCTGGACACCAACGCCCCGGACTTCCAAACCTCATCTACTACCAGCTGAGTCGCGCCCTCCCTGATCTCTTCAGAGAAGATGACCAAGTCGGCATCCGCTCCGTCTTCCAAGGAACCCTTGACGCCTTGGAGACCGAGCATCGCGGCGGGCGTCGCAGTGACGGCCTTCAGCGCCTTGGGAATGCCTGTGCCGGACCATCGGAGGAAGTTGTTCACGCATTCCATCAGCGTGACGGCACTATCAAGCTGTTAGTTGCGTCTGACAAAGATATCGTTTGGGGATGGTCCTCGCTCTCACCTTCCAGCAATCGTGTTGGTGCCCTCCAGCAAAAGCGTAGAGCCAACCTTGATGATGTTATTCACATCCTCTCCATTGACCCATTGATATGATCCATCCGCAAGGCCCATCATGTGCATAGCGTCCGTCACCAGGATAAACCCATCGGGATGCGCGTTGAACGCAATTTTGATCGTCGTCGGATGGAGATGGATACCATCGGAAATAATGCCAAAGTACGGCCTCGCCAAGCTCTCCGCAAGCCCCAAAACTCCAAAGACGCCGGGGTTACGGTGGTGAAGAGGGCGCATAGCGTTGAACAGATGCGTAATCATCGTCGCGCCAGCGGCCACCGCGGCCGACGCATCCTCGTACGTCGCTTCCGAGTGCCCGATGGAGTAGATGATGCCCCTTTCCCGCAGCTCGGGAATAATCTTTGTCATGTTGCCCCGTTCCGGCGCCGCTGTGATCATCTTGATCGGGATGACCCCGCTGTTGGCCACGCTGGGCTCGATGTTGTCGGCGCCGTAGCATCTGACCAGGTCGTCAAAGGTCTCTGCTTGCTGCAGGACGTCGACGTTGTGAATGCCGTTCTTGGTGGGGTTCAGGAATGGGCCCTCCACGTGGGCGCCCAGCGATTCGGCTCCGTCGTGAGCGGCTTGTAAGCCGCCTGATGCGCCGAGATAAGGCAGGGCCTGCAAACAGTTAGCACCCATGGACAATCATCGTCTAGATCAGGTCTTATTTACCCCCTGATAGAGCTCTGGTTTTTGGCTAGTAAGTGTAGGAACGTAGGATGTGACGCCCGTAGACACGAGTTTTCTGTTCAATTCTCGGACCTTTTTGCCGTATTGCGTCATATCCTCGAGCAGCGTTGAGAAGTTGAAGCCGAAAGCGCCGTTGAGCTGGCAATCAATCATGCCGGCCGACACGATGCGGCCGCCCAGGTTGATGGTCTCATCCGGCAGACAGAGGTCATCGAAAAAAGCGGCTTGGCTGTGGATGATCTTGCCCGTGACGGAGCTGACCCAGATGTCTTCTTGCACGAGGGCGTCGCCCTTTACAAGACGGCAGTTTGTGAACTTTGTGATGCCATTCTTTGGCGTTTTGGGAATGGTGATGGGCATCTTGGGGTGTGTATGTATATGTGTGTTGTCAGACTGGGTGATGATGGCTGAGGTTGAGGTCGAGGTGATTCGGGATTGGTGGGAGGTTTGGGTTTGGGTTGCACTTGTTTGGGTTGCACTTCAGTAACGAGGCCATGAACAGAAAGGCGAAACGCAGTAGCTTTGAGGGATCAATTCGAGTATTATTCACCAGAAGCAGCAGCAGTAGGCGCACTTGCTAGCAGTGACTTGAGACCGGAGCGGCAAATTTACCACGGGGGGGACCGGCATGGCCCGGCTTTGCAAGGAAAGTCTCATGGCCGTCCAAGGTGTTGGACACATCGTCATCGCCCCTCACAGTTGCAGCGAGATAGCCATCACACATGGTGGTATGAGATAGGACGAAGAGCTGGGTCACGGGTGTATGAGTGTATACTAGGTGTGTCTGTGTTTGGCAATGGCATCAAACGTGCCTTTTGGTGGGGTTTGGTCTCCATGGAGGGGTCGAGGTTCAAGAGGTTAAAGGCCGATGGCACCGGTGTCGGTTGCACTGCCATGTGCCCTCTGTCCACCCCTATCCGAGTCAGAGAAAACTACTTGACCAACGGCTGGTCCACATGGTAGAGACCATTCGTTTCTGGGAGGTCTTGTTTCACTGCAAAGCACCCAAGCACACGGCGCAACGCATCATCACATTCACCACCATCTGCTAACCCAGGTTCCAGAATCGGAGGTGTCCCCCGCCCCACACATTGTGTCAGGGACCTTTGGGCCGTTGACGTTCACATCGGAAGCAGATCCTCTCAAAGGACGAGCGTTGCATATGTGGGAGCCAGAGAGAGACACAGACAGTGACAGACTCGGTCTAGACGGGGCAACGACAAGGAAAAAAGAAGGTTTGACGTGGTGAGGCTCCATGTAACGTTCCGTTAGGTTGTCGAGGCCGAAGATCAGAGAGACGCTAACATTGGGAATGGAGCTTGGCCTTTCGGTACGTACCCCGCAGCAAACACACGTCCCACCCAGGTGTGGACCTCAGACGCCAGCCAAAAGTGGGCGGGGCCGGCACAGACGGCGCCCCACCTCGTCGACTTTATCGCGATAAGAACGTTTCCCCCCCCGGCCGGGCAAAGTGCGGGCAAAGGCGGACACGGCTCCTATCGGCCAATCAATCTCCTCCCCCGCCCCCCTTCCGCTCTCCGCCCCAGCCAATGATTGTCGGCAGTGGCTGGTGCAGCAGCCCACCGCTCCCGCCGCACATGGCGTCCCACTCCCAGCCCACGTCCTCCTACTCCTCCTCCTCCTCCTCCTCACAGGCGTTCTATGTCCCGCGCGACGGCTCCGGGTCACATCCGTACAGTAACCGGGAAACAACGTCAACTTCAACGTCAACGTCAACCTCGGAGAAAGGTCGCCGCCACTGCCACCACCACCACCACCACCACAACAACAACGACCGCCAATACCAACACCACCTCCCCCCGTTCAAACCACGCCATCTCGAGAGGTACTATGCGCGGCAAAACGTGACGAGCCGCAGACCACTAGCTATGGGGCAAGTCAAGGAGCTCGACCCACTATGGCAGGATCTCGATTGGTACGTTCACCTGTTCTGTTCCTATTCCCCGTGTCCCCTTCCCTTCAGACTCGACCCGCCCTCCACCACATGTCATCGCCGAATCGCGCACATGGCCCCTTGTCTTGTCCGGTTGCCTCGTTCTCATTTACGGCATCGTATCTAGCGTGTAGGAGGGGGGGAAGACAATGGCGCAAACCATCTAGCTTTATCCCGATTCGCTCCTTGCTGACATGCTCACGCTATTGCGCCGTACAGGGCCATTGGCCAGATGCTCATCATGGGCTGGGATGGCACAGAAGTGACGCCGCAGATCCGGTCTCTGATTGAGGATCATCACCTCGGGACTATCATCTTGACTGCCAAAAACCTTAAATGTTGGTAACTCCTTGCGCTGTTGGGCAGTTCCTATTGTACCCCGACAGCTTGCAAATTAGGTGCTGATGCCATGAATAGCTGCTCAAGAAACGGCCAAGTTAGTCAAGGAACTCCAGACTATTGCACACAAGGCCGGCCACCCCAAGCCACTGCTCATTGCCCTTGACCAAGAGAATGGCGGCGTCAACAGTCTCTTTGATGAGGACTACGTGTGTCAGTTCCCAAGTGCCATGGGCATTGCCGCCACAGGCCGGGTCGAGCTAGCTTACGAAGTATCCAAAGCTACTGCTACCGAGGTTGGGGCCTGTGGCATCAACTTCATGCTCGGCCCGGTATTGGATGTTCTCTCGAATGCCAGGTATCAGCCTATCGGAGTACGTGCTACCGGCGACGACCCTCAGGAAGTCTCCCAGTACGGCATTGCCGCCATCAATGGTATCCGTGATGCCGGTCTCGCAAGTTGCGGAAAGCACTTCCCATCCTATGGAAATCTAGACTTTTTAGGATCGAGTCTGGATGTGCCCATCATCACACAAACTCTGGAAGAGCTCAGTCTGAGTGCCCTGGTGCCCTTCCGAAACGCAATCGCAACGGGCAAGCTTGACGCCATGTTTGTTGGGGGCTGTGGCATTTCAAATCCCTCCATGAACGTTTCTCACGCGTGTCTCTCCAACCAAGTCGTGGACGATCTTCTCCGAGAGGAACTCGGTTTTGATGGTGTCGCCATCTCCGAGTGTCTCGAAATGGAGTCTCTGACCCACGAGCTCGGTGTACAGAATGGAGTCGTCATGGCCGTGGAGGCTGGATGTGACTTGGTGCTCCTATGCCGAGCCTACGACGTCCAGCTTGAAGCCATCAAGGGGCTAAAGCTGGGCGTCGAGAACGGCATCTTCACCAAGGAACGAATCTACACGTCCTTGAACCGCGTGCTACGACTCAAAGATACTTGCACGTCCTGGCAGACAGCACTCAACCCACCAGGCATATCACTCTTGTCCAAGTTGCATCCTTCCCACATGGCTTTAGCGAGGAAATCGTACGATGATTCCATCACGGTCATCAGAGACAAGGAAAAGCTGTTACCCCTATCCGAGTCAATGCACCAAGAAGAAGAGTTGCTTCTTCTCACACCATTAGTGAAACCACTCCCGGCGTCAAGCTTGACCAAGAGTATCCTTCAAGCGAAGGATGCCCAGAGGCTCGCCCCTACACCACACGACACTTGGCTACACCGGGAAAAGGGGGCAATTATGAGCGGAGAGGGCGTCTTTAGAGAATTCGGACGCTCTCTAGCTCGGTCCCGTCACGGAAAGCTCCTCCATACCAGCTACACTGCCAATGGAGTCAGGCCAGGTATGTTACCCTAAACGGCGCCGAATATGCGGCGGGCTAACTTTCTCGGCCTAAAGTCCATGAAAACCTCATTCACAGAGCATCCTGCATCGTAATCGTCACTGCAGATGCCAACAGAAACCTATACCAAGCGGGCTTCACCAAACACGTCGAGATGATGTGTTCGATGCTCCGGACCCGCGGCCAGAAGAAATCCGTCATCGTCGTAGCCGTAAGCTCTCCGTACGATTTCGCCATGGACAAGTCCATCGGTACATACATTTGCACCTTTGACTTTACAGAAACCGCCATGCACGCATTGGTACGAGCTCTCTGCGGCCACATCGTACCGAAGGGGACGCTGCCAGGAACACTACGCAAGAGCAAAAAGGTCCTAAAGTCCCGCCAGCACTGGATCGTGGAAGAGTACGACCGCCGCCGCGACGCCCACGGACTCGAGGAGCTCACAAAGGCGGTCGCGCGCGCCAACACCGTCGACCTGGGCCACCTAGAGTCGATGCCGGCCGCGTGCTTCGAGCTCTCGAAACCAAACGTCGAGGAGGCGCACTTTGTCGTCCGGAACAGCAGCACCCACGCGCTGTACGGCTTCGCCGCGACGTACTCGGTCGACGGCATCGGCATCCTCGGCGCAATCTTCGTAGACCCCACCAAGCGCAACGTCTCCGTCGGCCGGTCCCTCCACAGGCGCGCGCTGCGGCATCTCCTGACCACCACCACCACCAACAACAAGCAGCGGGCCGTGAAGAAGATTCAGCTGGGCACCTCGTTCCCGGGCGTCTTTCTCGGCATCCCCATCGACGAGGGCGGCGGCGTCAAGAGCTGGTTCGCCAACAACGGATGGGACGTGCAGTTCCCGAAACGGCTGACGAACCTCGCCATCCACGACCTGAGCGGCTGGGCGATCCCCGAGGGCCTGCTGCAGAGCATCCAGCGCGCCAACCTCACGTTTGACCTCATCCACGGCCTGGACAACGCCGAGAGCGTGCTGGGCCACGTAGGCACCAACGCGAACCCCGAGGTGCTGGAGCTGTACCGGTCCGCGCTGCAGGAGACCAAGGCGTGCGGCATTGTAAGGGCAAAGGGCGCGGGCGACGCGCTGCTGGGGACGATTATTATCTGTCGACCGGGGAGTCCGCTGTCGACGTTTATTCCGCCTCTGCTTTCGAGTGTTGACGAGGGGGTCGGGGGCGTATTGGCGCCGGTGATTCAGCCGGGTCCGCAGGATACGTTGGTGCTTCAGGGCTTGACTTTGATGGGTGTACGGCAGAATAAGGCGCACAAGTCGGCCAAGACGGTGCTTAGCTGGGTGAGTTTTCTTTCTGGGGTTTTTTTTTTGTGATGACAAGTTACTAATTAGTCAATGCGCAGGTGCAAGACGACGCGTATGAACATGTCATGGCGATGGGATTTGAGATTTTGCAGTCTTATGAGGAACTTACGACCGCCCCGGACAACGTGAGTACCATTCTCCCTAGTTCATTGGAGATGATGGTTTTGAAAAGACAAGTTAACAATGCGGTTCCCAGTGGACTGATTTGAACTAAGGATTCCCTGTAATGCGCCTTTGGGAGGTTTAGCTTGCGGTATACCCTTTGGATCTGGGGATTCTTCATCACGTCGGATAGTATGTAGGCAAGATGAGTCACTGTACTATGGGTTATGGAGGGCCATATCCAAGAGTGCATGTAAAAAGCTCGTCAGGAATGAATAGTGGGCAGTCTACGTAGTCACAGAGCCTAACCGAGACGAAATATTTCTGGACAACGTCGGGTAAGCGTGGGCCCGCAAGTCTGACGTATAACTTGAACCCTTACAGTCGCAGCGCAGAGTCACAATCCGAGATCTTGGTCCTGGGTTTGCAGTACAGGGAAGAGACGTCCCAGCTTGATGGGGCTGTTAAAGATCTTTATTGGTGCACTGCGCGATGCGATGCGATGCGATGCAATCTAGGACCTGGGACAAGAGAATCAGTCTTGGGCTAGACGTCTACTTACCGTGAGTAATGGCCCATCACTGTGCGTACCTTCCGTTCCAGTCCCTCGTCGAGATCCAATATTTCTATGCTTGATATTCATGTGTGGCATAACTCACAGCGCCCAAAAGTCTCATGGGCCATGATTCCTTCCGTACACGTCGACCCAGAGGGGTGTGATAAACCCCAGTTCAAGCGAGTGGATATTAACAACAGGAATGTAGGTAGCGAATCAATCAGCTCTGAGTATCTTTATATTCGCTACGAAGTAGAATCCTACCTGGATCTTTGGATCAATGAGTAATGCCCCGAAAGCACACCATCTACGCTCGGTTTCGGGAGCAGACGGGACCTTCCGTCGTGTTGTGTCTATTTCCATCTGCCCGGGGAGGGGAGCATAGAGATTCATCTTATTTCTTCTGCTCTAGGTGACAGATTTATATTAAGGGGTTTGCCAGGTTCCTGCAGGTTCAATACTCCGTGAAGCGAGATATATTGCACAAGCAGCAAATACGACTCTACGGGGCGGGTTAATGCCGAGAGGTGAAGATAGGATCACATAATCACACAGCTTAGCTTGTTCCCAGACCCGGGGAAACCCCTGAAACTTGCAACGGTGAGAAGCCGGAGTCTCGAGAGAACCAGGAGATTGACTACATTGGAATCTGGCTAATGCTCGTTCACAAACTCGTCATCAAATGAGACATATCCTGCCACCAATCCGCACAACGAGTGTCTTTCAGGGTATCAGAAGCTAAGCTAGAAGCAAGCCAAGCGTAACGATCTCGTGGCCAATTCATGACATGTGCTTTAAGCGGAAGAACATACCATTGTATCTGCGTAGCGGCGGCCTTGGAGATCTGTGAGTGGCCGCACAATCTGGGAATCTGGGGCCGAGATATGCGGGGGGAAGGGGGGAAAAGTGTGGAGATGAGATTGTCCGTGGTTCGCGGGGAAATATGTAGCCGACTGGGGTGAGCCCTGGTCATGGACTAGGTACTGATTTACGCCTAGAAGACGCAGCATGGGTATCGTCAATTGGAGATGGCTTCGTGAGGGTTTGGAGAATGAGGGGTTCTCGATCGAATGGTTCAGTTCTAGCTGGGGCAGTACGGCTCATGCCGATAATGGATATACCTTGGCTCAGGAGTGGCTTCCTCTACTACTCCAAGGCACATATAAGCGACGCGGGGTAAATGTTATAGCTTCAATCCATGGCTTGCGATCTTGAAGGTGGGGGATGCCCGACTATCCGCCAAGTCTTGGTTGGCTGCTCCGTCCGCTGGAACGGGCCGGACAGCCCATCGGTGAGGGATACAGATGGAAAGGGGGCTTTGTCACGTTGGATATACCGTTGTAAGTTGTGAATCGACTTGAACTAAGAACTAGAGAGCAAAAACCCGGCTCTAAGCCATCTAACCCGATATGCAGATAGCCTAATGTAATTCATCAAAAACAATGACGTGCCGCACAACAAACCGAAATCCGCAAGCATATCGTCATCATAACCGTCCAACAGCTCAGAGCTCCTTGATGGCAATCTTGCCATTCAACAAGACGGTATCCTTGAGCTTCCCATCCGCCCCAACCTCCAAAACACCAACCTCCTTCCCATCACTGCCAACCAGCGTCGCCGTGGCCCCCTCCTTGACCTGGTACAGCCGCACCTCATTGTCCCTCACATAGTCATACACGGCACCAACAGCCGTCTCGCTCCCCAGCACGAGAATCGTATTCTCCCTCACATACAACGGCAGCGTCCCGAACCCGTGCGTCTCCTTAAACCACCCGGGGCCCTCGCGGTGCTCACCCGAGAAGAATGACGTCCACTTCCCCTTTGGCAGGTAAAACTCCACCTCGCCCGACTCCTCAAAGATGGGCGCCGCCAGCACGCTATCGCCAACCATGAACTGCCGATCGAGGTACCATGACGTCGGGTCCTCGGGGAACTCGATACACATGGCCCTCAATGAAAGCGGCAACCCCCTCTCCACCGCCGTCTGCGCCTGCGCGTAGATATACGGCATCAGCCTCGACTTCAGCTTCGTCCACGTCGCCAGCGTCTGCGAGCACCCCTCGTCAGACTTATCGTCGTCGTCAATCACCCACGGCACGCGGTACGAGCTGCTCCCGTGCAGCCGGCTGTGGCTGCACAACAGACCCATGGCCACCCATCGCTTGTAGATCCACGGCGGCGGGTACCCCTCGAACCCGCCAATGTCGCAGCTCCAGAACGAGAACCCGCTGAGGCCGAGGCCCAGACCGCCGCGGACCGACTCCGCCATGGCCTCGGGCGTGGACTCGCAGTCACCGCCCCACTGGAGGGGGAACCGCTGCGTTCCCGCGCACGCGGCGCGCGCGAAGAGGACGGCCTCGTCGGCGCCGTAGCGCTTCTGCAGGGCCTCGTAGACGACCTTGTTGTAGAGGAAGGCGTAGTAGTTGTGCATTTTCACCGGGTCGACCGTCTTGTCGTACCACTCGACGTCGAGTGTCGGGATGCGCTCGCCAAAGTCCGTCTTGATGGCGTCGACGCCCTGGTCGAAGAGCGTGTTGAGCTTCGCCTCGTACCACGCGCAGGCGTCCGGGTTCGTAAAGTCCACGAGGCCCATGCCGGCCTGCCAGAGATCCCACTGCCAGACGTCGCCGTTCTTGCGCTTGACGAGGTAGCCCTTGTCCGCGGCCTCCTTGAAGGCCTCGCCGTGCTGCGCAATGTAGGGGTTGATCCACACGCAGACCTTTTTGCAGAGACCGGATTCTTTGAGGCGGGCGATCTGCGCCTTGGGGTCCGGGAAGCGCTCCGAGTCAAAGACAAAGTCTGTCCAGGTGAAGGCCTTCATCCAGAAGCAGTCGTAGTGGAAAACGTCGACGGGCGAGCCGCGGGCCTTCATACCCTCGAGGAAAGTGTTGACCGTCTCCTCGTCGTAGTTCGTCGTGAAGCTCGTCGTCAGCCACAGGCCGAAACTCCAGCTGGGCACTTTGCCGGCCCGGCCTGTGAGCGTGGTGTAGCGCTTGAGAATATCCTTGGGGGTGGGCCCGTAGATGAGGTACCACTTGAGCCGCTGGCCCTCGACGACGGTCTGCAGGCGGTTGCAGCGCTCGCTGCCGACCTCGAGCTCCACGCGGCCGGGGGTATCGATGAAGACGCCGTAGCCCTTGGAGCTGAGCCAGAACGAAACGTTCTTGTAGGCCTGCTCGCTCGAGGTGCCGCCGTCGGCGTTCCAGAGGGAGATGCTCTGGCCGACCTTGTTGTAGGCGCCGAAGCGCTCGCCGAGGCCGTGGATGGTCTCGCCGACGCCGAGGGTGGTCTGGGTGAACATGTAGTGCTTGAAGTCGCGCATGTCGCCCGTCTGCATGGGGGTGCTTGGCGCGGGGTTGTAGGCGAGGCCGACGCTTCGGCTGCCCAGGGACGTCAGTCGCTTGGAGCCGTCGGTGCTGTGGAACTGAATGTCAAAGTCCGGGTTGATGGTGGCGGACAGCGAGCCCGAGGTCAGCGTCGTCGTGCCCTTGTCGCCCTTGGTGATCTGGGCCTCGATCTCTGGTGGTCTGCCATCGGGGAAGAGCTCAAAATGGGGACCCTTGTTGAGAGCGCCAGCCCAGTGCGTTGCCTCGACTGAGATGACGCCGTCAAACTCGGCCTTGACGTCCTGTTCTTGTGTGTGAGCGAGGAAAAGTATTTACGATGAGAGTGAGAGAGTGAGATCAGAGTGCTGGACTTACAAGAGTGACTGTGCTCGCATTCAACGTGTGACCCCGCGTCTTGATTTTTCTCGTCGGGCACAGCAAGCTGAGGCCTTTTCCACCCTCAATCTCAGTGGTGTAGTAGACTTCCTCTGCGTACTCTGTCGCCGTGCCCTCGGCGGGTAGCCACATGCCATCGCGAAGACGGACCATGATGATAAAAGTTGGGGTATCACACACACACACACACACCGAAAAATAAAGGATGACGAAACAGTGTGATGAATCGAAAGAGAGGCACAATTCAGCCGGGAAAAGCGGCTCAAGATTTGAAGTGAATCTCGTCTCTTGTACGACAATTCCGTTGGGGCACGAGGCGTGCGGAGGATTAATCGGAGGAGGAATCTTGGAGAGAGGGCTCATACGCAACACGGCAGAGTCCCGCTGTCGGGGAGATATTGAGCGAATCCCATCGTCGCAATCCCGCCGATACTCCGCAATGGAGCGAGCCTCGGGGACGAGGCCGCTGATTCAAGTTTAGCCATTGACGTCGACCGATTGGTTCCGGGGTGCGGCCCGGTGGCGCAGAATCCGAAGTGGACTGGAGCGGGATGATGAGCAGCCTGTAGGAGAGGGGGAAGTCATACGGCGAGGATATCAGCAGGTACGAGTACACAGCAGCTATTGCCGCAGACTAGGTAGGTAAGTAGGTATGGTAGACACTCGTGACTTTGCGGAGATCTGGGGCCATCGGGTGTATGGATAAGGTAAAGGTAAGGTGATTGTGCCATTCCGGGTTGGACCATTGGTGTGGGGTTTCCTGCCGTCTTCCCCCGGGGGCCGTTAGTGTTAGCTTGAGGTACCTGAGGTACGGAGTATGGAGGTAGTGCTCTCGCGGTTCTTCAACCGGACTGGTCGGATTTGGGCGGTTCTCGGGGTCCGGATCAGCTGGGGCCGTGGTCGACCTTATTGGTGGAAACCGGCCGGCTCGGGATCCACTCGCCAAGCACCCGGCTGGCCGCTGCCTTACCCCACACACCTTCCCCCCCCCCGTACCCCCCTGTCCACTCTCCTCCTTCTTCCCCTCCACAAACAAGTGGAACCCCCGGTCGGCTCGGCAGAAGCAACTTCCAGTCTTCCCATTGAGTCCTATCCGCAACAGAAAGAGACACAGAGCTTCTCCAACTTTCCCATCTCCAACGGCTTCCCCTCATGCCATCACGACCAGCTTCACAAACCATGACACTGTCTATCCCAATTAGCTATCCGACAGTTCCCAAGCTCTAGTCTGTCGTCAGTCCGCTTCTCTTGGGTCCCAGCACCGCCACTCCCTGCGAGGCCATGTGCAGGAACTGCCCAGGGTTCTCCCATTCTTCCAAACTTCTGCCCAATGAATGCCGGACAAGACCGCTGCGAGAGCGCAAATTAGCATTACATCGCTCCTCTCTTTTGCCTTTCGGGTACGGAGTATGGACTAGCTAGGGGTACTCGGGTGCACCTTTTTTTTCGTTCTTTGTAAAAAATGATTGATGCGGAGAAGCTGCTCTCTCTCCTCACCGGCCCTTTGCCCCATTGCAATTACGTCTAATTCACTTCGGCTCCTTGGCCGTGGGCATCATGTCACTAATCAGGTTTACTCAATGCTCGGCTCCAAAAAGGAGCTTGCAGTCTGCAGAGGGCGGCCAGAGGCGAGCTGTAAGGAAGCTGTATTAATACCCTGTGACAGCGCGCGTTCGTCTCCAGGATCGTGTCCCTTTCTTTCTTTGAGCTCTGGAATCTCTAGCCGAACGTCACCCCAGTGTTCCATTGACTCGGATCGCGGAACATCATGAAGTTCTCTCTGACTTTCGCCTCGCTGCTGGTCGCGGCCGTCTCCGCCCAGAACGGCACATACCCCAATGGCACTTCGCCACTCTACAAGAACCCGAATGCCCCCATTGACGACAGAGTCTCTGACCTGTTGAAGCGCATGACCATCCAAGAGAAGACGGCCCAACTGCTCCAGGCCGACATTCGTGACTACCTCAACCTGACCGATGGCCGCTTCAACCAGAGCGGCCTGACCTGGGCTGCCGAGAATAGGGCCAATTCCATCTGGACCGGTCTCTACTCTAACGTGTCTACCATTTCATATGGAGCAAAGGTTGCTCAGGACTACCTGGTGAACAACACCACTTTGGGTGAGATTCAATTCTTGATTCAATTGGGTCCAAGTCGAACTGTGATGCTGAGACCTCTCCCTTCTAGGCATTCCCGCTTTCATCCAGAGCGAGGGTATCCACGGCTTCCTCGCCCTCAATGCCACCATCTTCAACTCGCCCATTGCCCACGGCTGCTCGTGGAACCCGGAGCTGGTAGAGAAGATGGCCAAAGTCATCGCCGTCGAGTCCAAGGCTCTCGGTGTCAACCAGATCTTCGCCCCCGTAGTTGACTTGGCTCGCGAGCTGAGATTCGGCCGTGTCGAAGAGACCTACGGCGAGGACCCTTTCTTGTATGATATGAGCCCCCGTTGACTTTATTGAGTCGCAAACTAATTCAGTGACAGGGTTGGCGAGTACGGCTACCACTACACCAAGGGTCTCCAGGAGAACGGCGTCTGCGCCATGGTCAAGCATTTTGCCGCCTTTGCTTCCCCTGAGCAGGGCGTCAACACGGCTCCCGTCCACGGCGGTCCCAGAGAGCTTCGCACCACCTACCTCCCCGCCTTCAAGCGTGCCATCTTTGATGCCGACGCCTGGAGCATCATGTCTTCGTACAACGCCTACGACGGCGTTCCTACCGTCGCGGATCACCACCTGCTGACCGAGATCTTGCGCGAGGAGTGGGGTTACGAGTACTATGTTATCGTAAGTTCTTGACTTGACAACTGGCCACCGATTCCAACTAACAAATCAGTCCGATGCTGGCGGTACCGCTCGTCTGTCCAACGCCTTCTTTGTCTGCGGGGAGACCGATGATGCATGCATCACCCTCAACGTACGTAACCCCTTGAAGTTCCCTGGTTCAACACCCTGCTCACCAGATTGTAGTCCCTCCCTGCCGGTAACGACGTCGAGATGGGTGGCGGACGCTACAGCTTCCAGTACATCCCCGAGCTCATCGCCAACGGCACCCTGCCCGAGGACGTCGTCGACACCGCCGTCTCCCGCGTCCTCCGCGCCAAGTTCAAGTCGGGCATCTTCGAGCACCCCTACACCGGTGTTCCCGACGACGAGGTCTTTGACTACCTCAACACCGAGGAGCACCGCAAGATCGCCCGCGACCTCGACGCCGAGAGCATCATCCTGCTCGAGAACCACAACGAGACCCTCCCCCTGAAGAAGGACGCACACGTCGCCGTCATCGGCCCCATGGCCCACGGATACGTCAACGTAGGTCTTACCAGCTCTACAACGTCCACACCCCCCGCATACTAACAACAATCACACAGTACGGCGACTACGTCATCCACACCGCAATGGAACGCGGCGTCACCCCCCTCGACGGCATCAAAGCCGCCAGCACCGGCACAATCACCTATGCAAAGGGCGCCGAGCGCTGGTCCAACGACGAATCCCTCTTCCCCGAGGCCGTCGCCGCCGCATCCGCCGCCGACGTCGCCGTCGTCGTCGTCGGAACCTGGTCCCGCGACCAGGACGAGCTCTGGGCCGGTTTGAACGCCACCACGGGCGAGCACATTGACGTCCACGACTTCAAGCTCGTCGGCGCCATGGGCCGCCTCGTCAAGGCCGTCATCGACACGGGGAAACCCACCGTCGTCATCTTCAGCTCCGGAAAGCCCATTACGGAGCCCTGGATTTCGGACGAGGCCGGCGCGCTGGTGCAGATGTTTTACCAGGGCGAGGAGGGCGGTCACGCGCTGGCGGATATCCTGTACGGAAACGTCAACCCTTCTGGAAAGCTTTCTGTTGCGTTCCCGCATGATGTCGGCACCACGCCCGTCTACTACGATTACCTCAACTCTGCGCGTTCCTGGCCTAACCCGGGTAAGGAGTACGCCAACGGGACTTTGGTTTTTGGCAGCAACTACGTCTTGTCGACTCCTCTTCCCTTGTACGAGGTAAGCAAAAACACACAGCTCCCCTCCCTCTTCATGATACTCTTACTAACGAAAAAAAACTCCAGTTCGGCTATGGTCTCTCCTACAGCACCTTCGACTACCACGACATCGCCGTCTCGTCCTCCACCGTCTCCCCGACCGACACCGTCACCCTCACCGTGCAGGTGACCAACAACTCGACCCGCGACGGCGCCGAGGTCGTCCAGGTCTACGTCAAGGACATGATCTCCTCCATCGTCGTCCCCAACAAGGAGCTGCGCGGCTTCTCAAAGGTCTTTATCAAGGCCGGCGAGACGGCTGATGTTTCTATTGATTTGCCCGTTTCCTCGTGGGGTCTGTGGGATAAGAAGCTGCAGTATGTTGTTGAGCCGGGTGACTTCACCGTCTTTGTCGGCTCTTCGAGCGATGATTTCAGGGGGAATGCGACTGTCACGGTTGTTTAAGAGGGGGTTGTCTGTTGGAGTTCTCGAGGATACTCTTGGACTATGAACGCCTGACGGCAGACGACAACCTGGGCCATCTTGGCCGCTTTCTATGTACATATTATGTAATGGTTGAATGAAAAGATGACATATGGGGTTATTCGATGACAAGTTTGATGAAGCCAATTCACCTCCACGTCGCCTAAAGATAGTGACTAGGCACCCTCAGGACACTCAACAAAGCGCCGAACTATATGCCAGGTAAAGTTGATTCCGAGGAGACACTAGTTATATTACAGTTGAGGTGTAAGAACGGTTCACAACTACTGCCTTTAGTCTCGGTGGTCCTCCCCGAGGCGTTGATAGTAATGGGAGAACAAACTCATCTGACCCAAACCATGCTATACCATACTTTGAGGTAACCGCATTGTCATTGGAGGGGACCAGTGGCGTGGTGAACGAGCGCAGAGATATTTTCTTGTCTGCTTTGAGACTAAACTCAATGGGAGTAGTCTTGGAGTGTAATGTGCCCCTCAATCTAGACTCACACTGAGTCTTTTCGCGCTCCTGTTACTAAGCCACTCCACAGAGTATCAACGGAATCTTCCCCTTTGATTTCTCCCAGTGGACAACTACAAAGTACAGGCTTCGGGCTCAAGGGGGAACTTTGGCAAGAGAGTACGTTTCTGAAGTGTCTGTGAAGACAAGTGTCTTACACATTTGATGGAGTTGAGAAGTTAAAAGGAGTAAGACGAAAGCCTCTCCTGGGAAAATCACTGTGTCTTTCGCTTCAAGTTCAGACACCCTGCATGCAAAGTCATCCTCCCCTCAGACTCACTAGGCTGAAGCTTCCAATGCTCGATGTCTGGAGAATAACGTGGGCACATGCGAACGTAATTTCGCTCCCTACACTTCAAGAGTCCCCCATCAAGGTCTCCGGCCTTCGTATACTTTGGCAGACTTGACTCGTCGAATAAAAAATGCAGCTATTCTACCCGAGCGAGACGATGTAATAAAATTCCCACACTTCCCGACAAGCCATAGGTAGATGGCACCGTCAAGAGAAGCATGGTCGTTGCTTGACTTTTTGCTGCCTCCAACTAAAAGCCCATGGACCATTCGGCAATCCTTTCTTGTGGGCAGCAAAAAGCTATTTTGGAAAGAAAAAGCAGCGTTTGCCGACTGGTGTTCACCCAGATTTGGAAATCTCATCGCAAACCCCAGTCTCCCTCTAACACCCCTCCATCCGAAATCATTCACATGGCGAAACCTAGTCATCCAGAAAAGGAGAAGGAAGACGAATACCAAGAAGGAAATACCGAAAGACCGCTTCAGGCAAGTCTTGCCTGAAAAATGCCACACACACACACACACACACACACACTCTCTCTCTCTCTCTCTCTCTCACCTCCGAAGAAAATGACGGAATACAACCTCCTCCCACAGGTAAACCTTTTTTTCTCCTTTTACTTGGACTGCTTTACAGCGTCTATGCGGCCTCTCGACCTCCCGGTTCGAGTTTCTGTTTCGTTTCTCACGCCCACCCCCTTTCCTCCGGTGGCTGGTGGTTGGCGCAGGGCAAATACCTAGGTAGCCGGTGTCCATCTCCCAGGTTTCTCGTCTTGTCAGATGCCCGTCAAATCAGCACATCATCACACCACACTATCACTGCCACACACACACACCAACTTTCGCCTTTCGATCTCTGTGCAACCCGGTCCCGAGTCCTCTGCTTGGATGGGGGGTTTGCTGGATCTCTGGCTCGAACACCGGATGATAATCTTCCTTTCAGAGGGCATATACTGCAATGAGGATATACCGTTGCACTCGGCACGACTTGGTCGTCGTAAGCCGCATGACATGTGTCTTTTGGTACTACAGTGAATGCAACCCTTTTCCTCGGACTGGATTTGTCTTCATTTTTGCTTCTTTGGAATAGTTGTCTTATACGTTTACAGGTAATATGTCGTTACGAACGGATTCCGTGCTCATCGGGCGATTATCATACACGTGCCAAGACTTTTCGTATTTGTAAAGCCAGCCCCCCTTCCGCTATCCACCCATCTCACCATCGTTTTCTGATACACACACCCTTCAGCTATTACTTGCCTACCTTTCCCTCGTGACGAGTTGCCCATCTTTTGTTTCCAACCTCGAACATTGATCCTGGTACGAGCGAAGCGGGGGTCCTAGGAGGTCAAACCACAAACCACAAACCCCAAACCGCCCGAAGGAACCGAACAACGGATGTAGAATAGAGGCACGGTCTTGGTCAGTAATCTTTTATTCCGTCTGCTTCTTCACCTTTTCTCCATCTTTTCTCGTAGAACAAGAGCAGAGACGTCTTGCTCGCCCTATTTTATGTACTATGTACTATGTACTATGTGACTAATGTGGGTGGGGAGTGAGTTGTGCACGATGCGTATTGTGATCATGCTGAAAGACAGTCCTTGGCAAGCCGGCAGCCCACGCCGGGTTCTGCCAGGAAGCCCGCTTCATCTTTCCAAACAATGAGAAAAGCATCTCATAAGCTTTCATGAGGTTAACCCCAGAATCGGACACTCGTATGTACAGATTAGATCTTTTTTAGCAGGAATACCAAAAAAAAAAAAAAAAACAAGTGACGCCTGCCAAGAAAAGCCAATCTCGTTCTCTTCCCCTCCTTTTTCTTTTATCCTTTCTTACACAGACAGCCCTCTAGAAAGTATCCCCCAGATCGTCGGAAAACTACAACAGTCTCTCCCTCTCTGCATTCCATCATGAGACTGCCTACATAATGTCTCTTGAACATTTTCATAAAGGATCAAAAAGGTTCAAGCCGCGGTGCATTCGGCCGCCGGTGAGGTAGTCTGTGCCTACAGCAGACATGCAGGTACGCACCTAAGGTAGGCATGTAAGGCATAGCGTGCATGACAAGAGACAACAAGAAACAACGATTCAAAACTTCTAGAACCACAACCACAACCATCGTCATCGTCATCGTGACTTACCTAACAAGCGCTCGCCGATCTCATGCGCCGCCGCCGCCGCACACTGCATACTTCCTCAGTACAGTCTGCAGAGCAGTGCAGCAGTGCAGCAGTGCAGCAGTGCAGCCAAATCTCAAACCCAACCAACTTTTACTCCCCCATTCATCCGTCCGCATTGTAACCCCCGTGGCCCCCTCCCCCTGCCCTACTACACCTCCTTCTTTTCGTCTGGAGTTTTGAGCCCCCCCTCACCCTGGCTCCCCTCCTCCCCTCCACCGCCTCAGATGTCTGGGGTTCATATTAATAGCTACACCAGTGACACCATCTGGCATCCCCCCCTCCCCCCCCTACCTCAGCCTTCTCGACAGCCCTCCCATGTCCAACATGCCCGCCTGCCTTGCAACCTAACTCATAGCAACAACAGCAGCAAGCAAAAAGGTCACATAGCCAAACAGCAGAGAAAAAGTCATCAACGATCCCATAGACTGTGAAGCATGCCCCTTGCAGTAGTCGCGCGGGAAGCCCGCCCTGCATGCACGCATCACCACCTCCCAGGACTACACGCTACAAACCACTCTCCTTTCCCCTTTCCTCCGTCCTCCCCCAGCCCTTGCCTTTCAACAACGCAGTAATCCTCCGGCCCGTGTAATAACCTTATATAGAACATGTTTAAAACATAACAACCCAGGTCCCTTCCCCCCTCCGTCTCTGACATTCTCACTATGCAGGGACAGGCGACGGCAAGTCACGTCCAAAAGATCACAGAGAGACAGAAAAGAAAAAAGAGGTATAAAACAACGTACATGCAAAAGACCAAAAGAAAAAACAAAGCAAGGCTACCTGTTTCCAAGGCTAGCCGTGGTCGATGCCCTGCAAGCCTGACAGCGTCATGCTCCCTCACCCCCCCTATTAAACATGGCCATCATGGGTGGCCCCCGGCACCCTTACTTCGGCAACCCTTTCTCAACGTCGCTTCGTCTCTTCCTCTTTTTCTCTTGGTATTTTCTCTCGGTCTTGCCCAGTCTTTTTTTTCGTTTCCGCTATCTGCTTCCACTGTGAAGCTGCTTGGCATCTTGTCTTTTCTTGCCCGTTTCTCTCTTGTCTCCCCTCTTTATCGACGTGTGCTGCTACCGCTACCCACTCTATTTCAGACGCCAATAAGTCTGGGGAAGAAAGTGTAATCGAGTCCTTCTTCGGCTACTTAATCCCTTTGATCTGCATCCCTTCTCGACTTTCGCGTCTTCGTTCTCAATGGAGTCGTCGCTATAGACCGTCTCTTGTAGTGTAGTCGGAGACGGATTCTGATGGGACCCTCGCGTCTGGTATGACTCCTGGGTCTCCAAGGGCAAATGGGACCGACTTGTGTGGACACAAGACACGTTGCTTTTGTGAACAGACATGATAAAGATATCGTGTTTATTTAATGCAGTCTAATAATGTAGTGCCCGACCCCTCCAGGCAACCCTATCGTACAACTGCCCATCTCCATGTCTTTTCTCATAAGACTCGTGATATTTGTTATGCCCGTAAGTTATCATTAGTTTTAACACCTTTGTAATGCTCATGTAGGTTTTCCCAGAAAAAGTAAATCTCCCAAACAATATTTGCCTGTTGCCAGTATGCACTCGCTGTGTGGTCCTACGTGTCAGGGCACGCCACATCACTACTATTGTACAAAGTCCCTGGCTGCAAATTGCGCTGGGAATGGGGATAGCAAGAAAAACGAATGTGGTAGATTTTGTGAGAGTTGCTGTTGATAGTGAGAAATAGTCCGTCTCCTCACAACCAGTGAGACAAAATCCGGCGCAGCATTGAAAGATAACGAGCGTTCATCTCTGCTATCAAAGTCCTGTCGAGTTCGGAGTTCATCGGCTAAAGTAAGCCTCGGTGTTCCGGCGGGCCGTGTAGACTGATTGTTTGACTGGACTGGACTGGGTGTTGCGTAACCTCGCGTGAGACTGATCGAGGGTGGTGGAAGAAGTTTCTTCCTGGGGGTATCGGTAAAGGCTTAGGCGAAGATACCGACAACTGACATGCCCGCAGCTGATTACAAAATTAGCCACTGTTGGAAGGAAGAGAGATTCCGTATATTTTACTCACCTCCGGCAAGAACGTAGCAAAAGGCAGAAATCTTTTGCTTGTTGGAAAGAAGGCGATTAGCCTCCTCGGAGAGGAAGTCTTCGGCCAAAAGATCGACGAGAGCAGCGTAGAGCAGCAGGCCAGAGGATCTAAGTCACATTAGCCGAGGTTCAGCAGGAAAAGACAAGAAAAGGCTCACATGGCGTTGAATACACCGACGATGATGAGGCCGAATGCACTTTCGGGATCGTAGGTGCTGCGGGTGAGGAGTCCAATGGCTTGTCCGATGGGGGCTGTAGTGCCGAAAGCGACGACTAGTACCCAGGGACGAATGCTGCCCTTGGGATACGGCACAGCGGCAATACGGGAACCAAGACCAAGACCCTCAAACATTTGGTGGAACAGGATAGCGACGAGGAGAATGATGAAACCATCAATAGTGATGGAGATAGTCATGCCAACAAACACCGAGTGGAACAGGATACCACCTTCGAGCATGGTAATGTTGAGAGACATCTTGCGATACACAGCGGGGTCAACCTGTTGGCCCTCGGCATCATAAAACGGATCTTCCTGCTTGACTTCCGTAACAGCAACCTGCGACGACGTCTGCTTCTCCTGGGTGGTTCGAATCATGTTCATCATCTCCATGCGCTGGCGCACATACTGCTCGTAGAAAACGACGAACCAAGGCGGCATGTCGGAGTCGGACAAGTTGGTGTTGGCGGGTGGTGGCGCTCCGTAGGTAGTCTCCGAGTAAGGCGCAGGGAAGCGTGACTTCTCGTCGTCGTACGCGCGCTGTGCGACTCGCTTCTCAAAGTCAATGCTGTCCGCCTCGGCATCGAAGCTGCTGCGGCCGTAACGAGGAGGCCGGGCAGGCTGGGCGGCTCCGTGGCCGTGACCGTGGTCGTGCATCACATCACCAGTAGGTCCTCCGTGGGAATGGCCGCCAATCTTGGCGTTGATCCACATCTCGATACTGAACAGGATGAACATGGATCCCATCATGATGGCACCTGGAAGAGGCGGGTAGTCGTCGGTGAAGAGATCCGGGAGACACGGGTTCATGAGGTTGCCAAAGGCGGTGGGAAGCAGCTGTATCGAATTAGCTCTGAGCAACTAAATGAGCCAAAGCCACCTACATGCACGAATGCCGTCGCGATGAGCACGCCTGTACCGAAATGCTTGCATGCAAAGAAGACCTTGGGAGGGACCTTCATCCACTTGACCTTCTTGGCCACAACGGGGAAACCGGCGCCTGAAACAGTCTTGTTAGTGTGCTGGCCCGAGAAAAGAGTCGTTTCGTTTGTTTATTTCGCATACCAAAGATCGAAAAGGCCAAGACCAAGACTGCACAAAGTTAGCCAAACTGTTGGACTACAGGGAAAAATGTTGTGGAGGCCAACTTACAAAGACCAGCAACGTGCAGGCCAACGTCATATTCGGCTGGTTGACCACCCTTCTTTGCGCCGCACTCGGGCTTGGGCTCTTTCATTCCGTCCATCTCTGATTATTAAATCGGTATTTTGTCGCGCAAAGAGGATTGCTGCTTGATTGGCAATCCTAGAATAAAAGATAAGGAGGGTTGAAAAGGTAAAAGGCAGCCAAAAAAATCCGGGGCCGCCTACTGACAAGGACTCATTCGAAAAGCGAAGGCAACTGCAAACAAGGGGACATAAGAAGCTGTCCCGCAGCTTCAGTTAGAGAACAGACGAAAATTCTGATCTGGCCCCAGCTGTCGTGGTTTAGAGTGCAAGGGGAATGAAAGGAGTGGACACGAAGAGAAAGGAAAAAAAAAACGGAAGGAAGAAACGGGCGATAAAAGCATAGAACGACAACAGACGCTCTGATGATGGGCAAGGAGAAATCTTGGTCAAAGTCTGGGCTCGACTCGCTTTAATATGCTTCCTATGACAGCCCGCGCAATGCAGTCCGTGTGAAGGCGAGTAGGGAAAGAATAAACGTTGACATGGGACAGCGGTCCCTGTGCCGCCCAGCCGATTCAGAAATAGAAGACGTTGCCAAGGATGAGGCAGCTGAGGTTGAGCCTTGGTGGGTTCGTGATGGGGGGACGTGGCCTTAGCGTCCGCCTCACGGGAAGCGGGAAGCGGGAGGACCTGAACGGGAACAAGGTTCACCGTGGGCAACAACCGTGTGTATCCGTATGGGGAGCGAGGACAACGGCGGGGGCGGAAAGGTAGGCTAAGTTGACCGCGGTTGAGTCGAGCAACTTGCTGCGGTGCGGCGTGCCTGAGACCCAGCTTGTGTCTAGCATCGATGATCCCGGCCGCTGACCGGATCCGATGTTGTTTGTTATAGCATGATTTGCCGGAGGGAGTCGAGACGGGAAGTCTGAGAGCCCGGCTCGACCTGACGGATAAGAAACGAGTTGAATGGGACTGATGATGGGTTGGATGGCGTGGATGCTACTCTGTCTCTGTACATGCAAGTAAGCGGTGGCTGATCGAACCTGTCGTCTCGACTCGGCACAGCTTCACATCCGTTGCGCTTGGCAAATAGGACTGATAATGGTTGATGATGGGCAATATCCCAAACGAGACGACAGTCGATCTTCCATCGGGTCGTTGCCAAGCGCGAAGGGGTCCATATCGACGTGGGGTGCGCGTCAAAATGGGGCGCCGGCATTTGTAAAATTTGGGTTGTATGAAACGGGAGTCTCCCGGGGTCAGGCGCCAGGGTTTGCCAGTCGGAAAATTCTTAAGTCGATTTGACTCTAGTCTCTAGGGAGGCTTCCCGGGTAGTCCGCGAAGAAGAAGCGCGGGGGAGGCTTGACTGGAGGCGCGGAGACTGGAGACTGGAGAGACAGAGAGACAGAGGGGGGAAACTTGGCGGGACAGGCACAAGCCGTCGAAAGCCAAGAGTGAAGCCAAGAGCACTGACACACTTGTCCCCTTTTCCCCATGGCGGCGGATGGCATTCTGTCGTTGATTTTGGCTTGGCTGCGGTTGCTTGGCTGCGATTCTGCAGAGAAGGGTTAGCCAAGCTGCCTTTGTGGTTTAGCAGGCTTGGTAGTGCCGGCTGATGGGAGACTGACTGAAGGCTCCATCTGCTCTCGGTTCTACTTCTAGTCGGCTTCTGCTTCTTCTCCGCTTCTTCTTGCCGGGGCTTCTCTGGGTCTACTCCTCGAGTGTCTCACGTGCAGAGTTTCCTATATCGGACAAATATCTGAGGGCAAGTTTTGCCTAACAACCCGCAGCCACCGCGACAATCGCAGTCGGGGCTTAGTCGGAGGCTGATGTCCATACTCCATAGTAAAAAAGTGAGAGGTGAGAGAGAGCGTGACGAATGACTCTGGATGGGCTCACAAGATGGGATGGGATGACATCCTGGCGCCGAGAAATCGTCAACAAGTCCCGCACCATGAGTTCCAGGCAGGGCTGTTAAAACTTGGGGGAGCCAAGCAGCCAAGGGACGTGATGGAAAAGAGGAGCCCTCGGCGTCTGAGATGGAGAAGAGAGACAAGAGATGAGGCCAGTCGAGAGACAGGAGACAAGGCCCGCGTGTTGTTGCTGTTGAGGGTGATGGCAAGAAGCAAAGCTATAGTATCCGAGCGTGAGTCGATAGCTGAACCGGCACGAGTTGGTGATGTGAGAGAGTGGGGGAGTGGTCACCGAGGTGTGTGTGTGTGTGTGTGAGAGAGTGAAGTTGAGAGAGAGAAGTTGGAGACGAAGAAAAGCGGGGATGTTGCGTATTGGAGTCGTTCATTCTTGCTCCGGATTGAAACAAACATGCAAGTTGTTCCGAGCGCTCAGCTCTCGCCTTCCAAACTTTCAAACTCTGCCCGAGTCTTTTCTGAAGTGGTACCGAGTCTCGTAAAGTCTCAACGTCTGGTAGAAGGCAGCACCAACGACGGCGAGAGCCAACAGTTGGCTTTGGATTACGCTACAGCTACTACTTTGCCTAAAACTCTGTAACAGCCCCAAACTCTTGGCAGAAGGGCAATCGCTTCCTGTCTCGGTGCGCTCACGCGGCTCCTGGGTCTGCCGTCATGCGTGAAACACGCCCCCCCCCTCTGGACTCGGACCTTTCCTTGATCATCCCCCATCCTCCATCCCGCAACCTGCTTATGTTGGTCAGCTAGGTATGCATCACTTCTGGTGTGTCTGTCTTTGGCAGTAACTGACTGCCGTCTCTTCATTGCTTTCTGAGCTTTCTGTCAGGGTCCCCTCTGTCATCGTTGCCTCTGAAAGTCAAGCTAGGCTCGAAATGACCTTTTGCTCTCTCGACTCCGCTTGCCGACTGCGTATGCCTCCCTCGCTTGCACTTGTAAGTCAAACCGGCACGAGTTGTCTCTGACCAGGAAGACGCAAATAGCTGCCCCCTGATTCCCTGAACATCAACACCTCGTGCACCATTATCACCACTTTACTGGCGGAACGGTGGAGTTGGAATCGCAGGAAACGAGCGGGAAAGCCTCCTGTACACGCACCACATCTCAAATCTTGCCGTCATTGCCCAGGGTGCTTTTTGTTTCCCCCCTCTCAATCTCAAAGTTCTAGCCCATTCAAGATGTGCGCATTGAGGGGCAGGGCCGCCGGCAGCAGGAGCTTACTGATAATCAACGACATAAGGGGGCCGCTTCTGCAGCCCGGCTACCTCCCCCGGACTTTGCGGAGAGGCGGGCATGACATGAGGAACACGTAGGATGCCATCTACTCTCTTTTAATATATGACTACCAGTCTCAAATCGACTTCACTATTGTACTATCCTTCTACTTTCCCATTTCACCCCAAGAACCAACCCAGCTCAATAGTTCCCAAAAATGCAAACTCCACGCGAGTCTCAGGACGGCGTCCAACCATCATCTAGTACGTGGGTTTCGGCTCTGTCTCTTTCTTCCTGGCCACACCCCTTCCCACCCCTTCCCGCCATGCTCTCTCTTCGCCTCACCTATTCTTCCACTCTGCTGGCTGGTTCATCACATCCTCGCAGAGATGTGCGACTGCTACTCGCATCGGATTTCCCTGCCGCTGCTCCTCCTTGACCACTGACCACCAACTGTGGTGGCCACTGCTTCATCCCACTCTTTCACACTTCGACCAGTCCCCGCTGACCATTGTGCTTCAGTCGCCTCAGCTCGAGGCAACTCTGTCGGTCATTCGGAAAGTAATTCGAAAGCTGAAGCGAACAAGGAACACAATGAACACCCAAAGGACAACGCAGACATCATCTCACCGGTTCACCCATCTGGCACGGACGACAAAGCTGTGACTGAAGGCCTCTTCGTATCGACTTCGAACGATACAGCAGCCAACAAGAGCGACGTCGTCAGAACTTCCTCCAAGAGCGGTGGCGCCAACGGCCCGTACTCCAACGTCGACGCCACGGATGCTTCTACCGTCGACACTTATCGGCCGGACCCCTACGACTTTGGTCGACACCGTCGTGACAATGTCTCCAAGAAGCAGATGAAGATTGAGCATCCCAAGGGCAACAAGAGAAAGCTGAAGAAGTTCTACAACCGACAGAATGACCTCATTGACCAGTTTCTCGGTGCAGAGGACGAAGAGAGACAGCAGGTCGCCGAAGACGCGCGAATGGGTCCCAAAATCAAGTTCGCCGTCAACGCCTCCTTCACGGTCAACTTTTGCCTGTTCATCATTCAGCTCTACGCTGCCGTCTCAACTGGGTCTCTGTCGGTAAATAGACACCCAAGTCCTTGCGCTCACGGACTCTATTGACTCGCGAATTTTCCAGCTTTTTGCCACTGCAGCCGATGCCTTTGTTAGTTGAATCCATATTTCGGCGTACGGCATAATTGTAGGAGTTAACTGAGAAATGCCCAGATGGACTTGGTCTCATCCTTTGTGATGCTCATCACTTCGAGGATGGCGGCGCGGCCAAGCGTTTACAAGTATCCGGTGGTGAGTTATTCGCAATATTCCCGCCTTGGCAATTGGGTTTCCATACAGGATCTGACAGACTGGGGATGGAAAAATAGGGACGAACCAGGATTGAGACGATTGGCATCATCTTGTTCTGCGCTCTCATGACAACCGTTGCTATTCAACTGCTGGTAAGTTGTCGCCAAGTGACGTGTGACTTGGTAGTTTGAGATGCTGATCTGGGACGACAGGTCGAGTCAGGCCGCGCCCTTGGCGAGGGCAAGCGGGCTTCTGAACAACTGCACATTGTCCCTATCGTAATTGTCGGCGTGGCCATCTTTGCCAAGGCCTCCTTGATGATCTACTGCTTCGCTTACCGGAAATTCCCTTCAGTGCATGTCTTTTTCGTATGTTGTCTAATCTTCAACTGGGCGGCTGCCTGTTCGGACGACGTCTTTGCTAATAATAGCCGTAGATCGATCATCGCAATGACATTGTTGTCAACAGCTTCGGTCTGATCATGTCTGTAGTGGGAGACCGCTTCGTGTGGTACTTGGATCCCATTGGTGCCATCTGCATTGCGTTGCTCATCCTGTTCTCTTGGGTGTCCAACGCCTTTGAGCAAGTCTGGCTGCTCGTCGGCAAGTCGGCGCCGAGGGACTTTGTCTCAAAGCTGATTTACATGGCCATGACCCACGATACTCGGATTCTCAAAGTTGACACTGTAAGAAACCCAAAGTTTAGAGACATGTGAGAAAGCCATCTGACCCCGCGAGCAGTGCCGCGCGTATCACGCAGGACAGAACTACTACGTTGAGATTGACATCGTCATGGACGAGACAACGCCCCTGAGGATCTCGCACGACGTTGCTCAGGAGCTGCAAAGAAAGGTTGAGGGTAAAGTGCTCTTTTCTGGCGATGAGTTGTTGGGGATGTGATATGCTGACTGTTGGCCGGCTAGGATTGTCTGATGTCGAAAGAGCATTCGTCCATGTCGACTACAGCGAGGCTCACGATCCCCACGAGGAACACAAGCCGCTGTACGAGAGACTCTCAAAGAAGCCTCAAAAGAGGACACTCAAGGACATTCTGTTGAGGACGAAGAAAGACACGGCGGATGTCACAGAAACTGAAATTTCCAGCGGTCGAAACTCTGCATGACGGGGATGAGAAGGGATAGACGATGGAAGAAAAAGGGAAAAGCGCGAGCAATAAAAGGGATATGGGGGGCAAAAGTGGCGGGAGATGTAGGGACCAAAGTAAACTTGGCGTCTGGGAGCCGGCAATAATTGTATACACAGTAATCAGATTTCTTATCAATCTCTTTCCTACGATGTCGTTGCAGCGAAGAGAGTTACGTTGACTATCCTTGTTTCGACATGGGGAGGGGTTCCGCACCCCCGACGCGGGAACACACGGGGACAGACGGGGAACAGCGGGGAGACAGCATCTCTGAGCCACAAAAGATATCCAATAGTCTTACTTGACAGACGGCTTTGGCGGGACATGAAACCACGATGGGGACGGCAAACTATGCTTCCCGTAGAGACGACATACGGGTATGCCAGGAAGAAAACGTAATGGCATGTAATGGCGCGACGAAACAGCTAGCTCGCGAGGGCTAGCTTGTTCATGCCTGGTGCCCAGACGAGACACTCTCGACTGTCTAAAGTGCTTGCTCTTTCTGCGACGGTGATGGCGCTATCCGCATATCGTTGTGAGAGAACTTTTGGAGAAAGTGCCCAGAGTGAGGCGGTGTAAGTGATGGCTGTCACCTATGGCACTTGGCAAGTTTTGCTGATGGCACTTGGCGGTACTTGAGCGTGGCATCGAACTTGGTATAAGTTGAGTTGGACCGAGCGTCTGTCTTTTATCTGGACTTTTGGGGGGGGGGGGGGAGGGGATCGCCAAGTAAAGTTGGACGACAAGAACTTGGCGGCTGAAGCAGCATGAGACGGCACAGCCAAGCCCAGTTTTGACATGTCGTAGTCTTGCGACTCTTTGCCCCGGGTGTCGAAGGCTTGGCTACGCGTCTTTCTGTGCTTTTCACCATCACCCCCGGTCTTGGCTTGGCGGAGGATAGGGGGATGCCGGATGGATCATGGGTGAGAGAGAAGGAAAGCCTACGGAGAAGATCGGAGGGAGGTTGAGGGGGCTGTGGGACGGAAGGGACGTGCGAGTTGACGTGTTTGTCTCGACTTTTTTGTCAGGAGGAGCTGCTCTCGTGTTCCATGTCCCGGTCTCGAGATCCACATCACCGACGACCCTCGGAATGTGTTGTGGGTTGATGCGTCTTCCGCGGGGTCTTCGGCCACCGAGCACGGTGGGGCTTGAATGTGTGACTGTTTAGATGTGTGATTGTTGCTTGCTAGAGATGTTCCCAAAATGTTCCTCGACGTAAGGGAATGAGCCTTTACTATACTGAGTATTTGAGTAAAGAGGAGAGGAGAATGCTCTCTGTTGAGCTATATCGGTAGAGAATCGGAGTACAAGACAAAAGTTTTGTATTTCAACAGAGTTTGGGTGCTGTGAATGCAACGAAGCAGTGAGCGGGCCGCACCATATACACGATCAAAAGTCTAGATAAATAGGACACCGATTTGTAGTTACATGGAGCTTTTTTGTCAGAGGAGGAAGCCCGACAAAAAGCGCCTTACGGACCACAGCCCTCGATGAGCCCGACTTGTGATCAAGATGGTGAAATACAGGAGGATATTTTGTGCCATCTTGATATCAAAGTCCATGAGCGTTTTGGATCACATACTGAGTTGCGTAGAATGAAAACTACGGGAGTCCATCACTTGGTTATCATATACGATCAACTTCTCAGCCCTATTCTGCGGGAGTGCATTGAAATTGATGCTTCATCCAAAGGCGAAGCCGCCCAAACCCTGAGCAAATACATCTTAACAAGTCCCTGGATCTAAAGTCGGAAAATTGTCTTTAAACCTTCTCACAACGACTGGAGATCCAAGGTAAATACAATCGTCCAAAATACGTCGGGACGCCGCCGGAGTGGGGCCGTTAATGTCCCCATTTGGAGTTCGGCGTCAGACCGTAGCTTCCGGCCACAATAAGACACGTGCATTTAGGTAAGTACATATTCAAGGTTACTACTGCCTTGCATCTACAGAGTGATAAATTCCTTCTTGCATCTTTCAGCTCTTGAAGTTGAAGCACACAGGAAGGAGAGATGGAAGCGGACTTATCCCACCCCGCTGATTCTTACCACGGGGCAAGCGGTCAGTCTAGGACTCTATCTGGGAAGAAAGTCCTGGGTATCCACGAACGAGGTACTGCTAGCTCCTTCTCTTATTGTATTTAGGCACCCAAGAGAAACTTTGGTACTCTGATTGGCATCTTGCTACTGTTGATTTACTCGCCTCTTCCCCCTTGGCTTCTTCCAGCCAGATTTTCCCACCAACATTATCAACACGATATAATTTGAGGCTCAAAGACATCATCATCCCACCCAAACACCAGCAAAGCTCTATATTTGAGACGAAGACCACGACTACTTCCATCTACTTCTCTTACTAGTCAGATGGCCGACAACAACCATTGGTACTTGGTACCTCAACCCACCCGCCACATCCTGACTGACGACAAAATCTACCAAAGATGCACTGCGAACTTGAGCAATGGATTCCTCGATTTTCGTGGATACTTTCGCGTTATATGCCTCTGGGGTGGGGAGGCACGCTTCATTCAAGAAGAACACGTCACAGGCCAATTGTTCAGGGCATGGCGCAAGAACAACCCGGCCGCCCTCTTCGACTTCCGCCAGCGGGCCATCAAAGCTGGCTACTGGGATCCCATTACAAACGATCTCCGACGTACCATCTTCTACTACGGGCAATATTTCCAGCGTGTCAGTTTATACCAGGCCGTAGAGGTCTTTTCACACAACCCTCAGCCTGAACATGCCAAAAAAGCACATACTCTTCCCTTTGCGGAGAAGTGGCCTGCGTCTCGGGAACTGTGGACGGCCACCGGGGGACTTGGGCTGGGCCGCAATCTTGAGACCACCAAATCGGGCATCGATGACCGACCCGTTAGTTTTGACTCCAAGGCTTAGAACACCAGTCAAACAATCATTACCAGGAAGACTTCCTCTGCTGCTCTTCAGCTTTTCGACGACGTCCACGCCAATATCTCTAGATATTTTGAAGGGACCATCGACGGTGACCAAGCCTTGTCCGCTGTCTGCGAAACTTATCGCTCCTTCCCGGATGCCGTCAAAGTTTTGAGGGAAAAGTTGAATTCTCCGGGACGAATCGATGCCCTCATCAGTCTCCCTTCGTCTCCCGCTGCGTCAGCCGAAAGGGGCCAAATCAGCTCCCTTTCTGTACAGACCCTTATTTTTGATGGAAAAGCGATCATGGCGCATCCTGCGGTGCTAAACTTGATTGCCGGCTTCATTCGTAAACACATTCTCGGCAACGATTACGTTCTTCGGTCCGGCCGCAAGCTGGAGCTGGACCACATCATCGGATTTCTCCATTTTGGTAACCTTCTGTGTCACGACATGGCTATGCGCAACTCCTCTTCTCGGCTCGAGGTTTTCAATTTGCTTCGAACGCCAGGAGTCGAGACAATGGAGCAGCGCAACAGCCAAGACGATATTGACCGCGCCGCGGTCATTACCGAATGGATTCATGGCCGGTCCGTTGAATGGTTGGCATCGAATAGACCAGAGGAGGATGTTATCAAAGATCGAATCATGCTACTGAGGTTGACGAGAGCAACGGCTACCCAGATTCGGTGATACTAGGGCCAGGATCATCTCGAGCTTACTTTACTACTATTGTATGTTTACTTGGGTTCAGCGAAGCCTTTAGCCTATGAATGAGAAGCGCTTCTTGAAGTTGCAGATTCTGCCCAGCCCACTTGCGTGTATCCTGTTGGCAATTGCATGCTGGCCTAAGATGAGCAAGGGTCAACTCAAGTCCGTCATTAGGGGGGGACTTTCTCAATCCTTATGAGGAGTGAATCATCTCTAGATCTCAACAAGCAATAGACCACATGGTCGATGGGCTTCTGGGCTGTAGAAGCCCCCAGTAGACTGTGAAGTCTCTGGTCTATTCCGAGATCTAATGGGTAGAGAAAAATAGACAACGATAGAAATTGGCAAACGTTCAACACTCGAACTTGTGAGATTCGGGTGTCTATGAAACCGCTTGTGGCATTTCTACCGGTTATATACCGCTCCGCTACTGCGGTTGGGAGCTTTTACAGTCGTCTCGATATATATACTATGCGATCAAGCTTTCGGCTTACCTCTATCATTCCCTCGGATATTAGATGCTCTTTCTCGACTCCATAGTTGCGGAAAGAGAAAACAAAAACGTCAAAAGTTCAACGCTGGAATCGGCGAGGTTCGAGTGTCTATAAAATGCACCATTGGCTTTTCTACCAGATGTATACCGCTGGGCTACTGCGATTGGGGCTTATCCGATGGACTTCAAATACGTACCTCCCCTATTTCTTCCTTCGGATTTTGAACATATTCACCGCTTATCGGTCTACGCCAGCCATTGCATAGCACCTGTATACTTTGAATCACGGGGTATCATGTCTATTCCATTCTTAACTCAGCCATTTCTCGGCCTTGTTGGGTATCAATCTCCTAAGCACATCAATCTGCCGCGCCTGCGCCTTATGCCTCAAGTCTGCGACTCCTCGCCTGTCCGTCCGTCTTTGTCCATTCGAGTAGACCACTGTGAAATCCGGAACCTTTTCGCCAGGTTTGATGACCGTCAAAGGTGAGATCGTACAGTTCTGCAGCAATTAGTTAGTATCCCAGGTGGTCTAACAGATAGTCAACACCAACCTTGCCAATGACGGCGCCGTTTCCGATCCGAGATCGGACCCCAACCACCGTGTCTGTTCCAATATCTGTGCCCCCAGCTTCAATGATGGCGCCAACCTCTACCGTCACGTAGTCTCCGAGCGAGATGCCTCCGCTGGCGTCGTCATTACCAACTACACCAATATGAGCTCGCTCATGAATGATGCACCTCCGACCAATGAGGATGCTGCCGTTCGTGGTTTCAAGCTTCGATCGTGGGTGCAATACGCTTTCTGACTGGATCGTGATCGAGTGTGTTCCGACGAGGATGGCGCTATCGGCAACGGTGAGAGATGACGAGAAGCTGACTGGAGGTCGCGGGCCTTGGTTGGAGACGGCGGGCAGCATAGAATGCCGCTTGTTAGACGACATTGCGGTACGTGTCCTGGATTGCTCCGACCCAATGTAAATCCCAGCCAAATGATGTAAGGCGCATTATTGGTCACGCCTGTAACAATTCCAGGCTCACATGGAAGACCGAGATGCGACGCGCAACGGTGTTAGTGATGGGGTAGCTTGCCGTGGGGCAGTAGAGTCCGACGTCGATTCTCTGGAGCCGCCCCAGCGCATAACCCCGGTTGATGCATTCACGCTGCCACGTGACCTTCTCGCTGACTAAACGGCCCGCATTGGCCAATCAACGCCAGTTGGAAATAAGCATCATCGATTTGGTGCAACTGAGCTGTGTTCCACGACGACGAATTCCTCCGATCGACAACCTCCATCCACCACCAAACCCCCCCCCCAAATCGCCCACGATGGCCACTCCACGGCGGTTGCCCGCGCAGGCCGCTCAGGCTGCGCGAAACTTTGCGACAGTACGAACCTACGGTGGACTCAAGGATCAGGACCGTATTTTCCAGAATCTCTACGGCCGGTTGCCCCCGACGTTGGCTTCCGCGAAGAAGTTGGGCGATTGGCACAAGACGAAGGAGATCATTCTCAAGGGACACGACTGGATTATCAGCGAGGTCAAGGCCTCCGGTCTCCGTGGACGCGGAGGTGCCGGTTTCCCTTCAGGATTGAAATGGGTAGGTCACCACCTTGCGATTTTGCTGGAGCATTGCCGCGGCAATCAAGGGAAGGAGCGGAATAACGGGCTAACGCAATGGCCATCGCACAGTCGTTCATGAACTTCAAGGATTGGGACAAGGACGACAAGCCGAGATATCTGGTCGTCAACGCCGATGAGGGCGAGCCCGGAACCTGCAAGGACCGCGAGATTATGCGAAAGGACCCCCACAAGCTCATCGAGGGCTGCCTCGTCGCCGGCAGAGCGATGAACGCCACCGCCGCCTACATCTACATCCGCGGCGAGTTCGTTCACGAAGCAGCCGTCCTCCAGAACGCTATCAACGAGGCTTACAAGGATGGATTGATTGGCAAGAACGCCTGCAACTCCGGATACGACTTCGACGTCTTCATCCACCGTGGTGCCGGTGCCTACGTCTGCGGTGAGGAGACCTCCCTCATCGAGTCCCTCGAGGGCAAGCCCGGAAAGCCCCGTCTCAAGCCTCCTTTCCCCGCCGCTGTCGGTCTTTTCGGATGCCCTTCTACCGTCGCCAACGTCGAGACCATCGCTGTCGCCCCCACCATCTGCAGACGCGGTGGCAACTGGTTCGCCGGCTTTGGTCGTGAGCGTAACCAGGGCACCAAGCTCTTCTGTATTTCTGGTCACGTCAACAACCCCGTCACCGTCGAGGAGGAGATGTCGATACCCCTGCGCGAGCTTATCGACAAGCACTGCGGCGGTGTCCGTGGCGGCTGGGACAACCTTCTGGCCGTCATTCCCGGTGGCTCTTCCACCCCTATCCTTCCCAAGAGCGTCTGTGACAACCAACTTATGGACTTTGACGGTCTCAAGGACAGTCAGTCTGGTCTCGGTACTGCCGCTGTAATTGTCATGGACAAGAGCACCGACGTTGTCCGCGCCATTAGCCGTCTCTCCCACTTCTACGCCCACGAGTCCTGCGGTCAATGCACACCCTGCAGAGAGGGTAGCAAATGGACCGACCAGATCATGAAGCGTTTCGAGAAGGGCCAGGGCCGGCCACGCGAGATCGACATGCTTCAGGAGCTCACCAAGCAAGTTGAGGGTCACACTATTTGCGGTATGTATTCGTCCATGACGTCAACGATTTCCATTGCTAATGCTTCTTTGTCTAGCTCTTGGTGAGGCTTTCGCCTGGCCCCTTCAGGGTCTTATTAGACATTTCCGCCCCGAGCTTGAGAAGAGGATGGAGGAGTACGCCGCGCTGAACGGCGGTGCTAACGCTCTGGGTGGTGGTTGGGAGCCGACTGCCCGGGCTCAGGGCAAGCTAGTTTCACCGGGACAGTAAAAGGCTGGATTTTTTGCATGCTTGTAGACCGGCGCCCGAGGGCTTGTATATATTAGTAGTACATTAGCAGAGCCCTAAATGCGCTGGAGTTCATTTGTTCACGAATATTCAATGTTCTTCATATTGTAGCACAGGTGTTCTCGTGATGGCCTCAATTGGAGAACTCAGATGTTTCCTGACATCGTCAATATTTAATTGGCAGACCAAACTGCTCCAATGTGTCCTTGATTCATGTATAAGAGTCTATGAATCATACACGTTGATTCTTCAAGCCTTTCGATCGGCGTTAAGCGTCAATTGTTTCGTCCAATGAGGCCACTGTATTTCTCATCTCTTTATGCAAGCCGCAGGCATGCCAGGGATCTTCCTCTCGGCCCACAGATCCGGACAGCTCGGGACTCGGCTGGACCACCGGTCAAAGAACCCTCCGAAGAACGGCGGGCGGGGGTTTCTCTAAACTACCGTCCCCGATTTCTTTGACCGCCCGTCTGCCTACGACAACTCCTCGGCCGGTCGGATATTGTGCGTTTCGTGGATTCCTCGCGCGTTGGTGACGTATTCTTATTCGGAATTATTTTGCTTTCTTATCTGTCCTTTGACGATTAAGGTTTCGCCGAGATGACTTCTTTCACTTTTGACCAGTTCGTCGCCTTTGGGTCTGACAGTGGTGAGTACATCGCCCTCTATTCAGCATCTTCATACGCTGCATATTTGAATCATTTCGTTGGATTTGATGTCTCTGACCCGCCTCCATCACTGCTGCCCGAGATGAAGCCTCTCGCCCACTCTCCAACTCACTCACCGCTTACTCTTACTCTTCACTCGTTACTCTCATGAAAACTGACACATGATACTCAAGCCGGTCTCGAACGCATCCTCCGCGGCCTCCAAGCCCTCACGGCAATCTTCTCAGCATATCCATCCCTCGTGGCCCTCGCCCTCCTAGACGCAGAACCCCCATTTCTCGAAGCTCTGGGCCCGCTACGAGGCCACCTCAACCTGACGCGCCGCTTCATCCGCTTTTTCTGGTTTCTCAACTCCTTTGGCACGTCCTACAACCTCTACACCACCATCTCCTCATCGCCATCACCATCGCCATCAGGTGGCCCCAAGAAGAGCCAAGGCGCGGGCCTGGAGACGTGGCTCGACATTATCAAATTCACGCTGCTCGGCCTCTACGGCGGTCTTGAGTCCCTCACCCTCCCGGACCTCCTGGGCGTCCCGCAGATTGGCTACTTTGGTGCCGAACGCACGCGGGCGCTGAATGTCGAGGCGCAGCGATTTTGGTTGCTTGCGTTGGCGGCGGGTGTGTTTGCGAATTTGACGCGCTTGCTCAAGGCTTTTGCGTATGCGCCGGTGCCGCAACATGGCCACGGGTATGGGACGGGGGAGAAGCCGGGGGAGACAAAGAATGATGCCGTTGAGGGAGCTTCTGAGAAGGATGCCGCCGCTGTCTCCGACGAGAAGAAGAAGGAGGACGCAGAGGATGAGAAACTTGACTGGGAGGCTGAGCGTACTCGTCTCCGGGCTATCGTCATGAAGAGGCGGGAGAATATGAAGCGGTGGAGGAGGGAGGTCGCGATCAAGGTTAAGAGTCTTGGGCGCAAGATCTTTTCCGATTCGTTGGATTGCCTTATTCCGGGCGTGATTCTGGGCTGGGTTAATGTTCAGCCGGGGACAGTTGGGATTGCCATGCTCATCACTACCGTCTTGAGCAGTAGAGATATTTGGGATAGGTGCGGTGCGACTGTTAGAGAGAGGAGGAGCTCTTGATAAAGGTTTTTAGGTACACCTATAGATCCGGACTGGGGTCTGTCTTTGGCTCGTAAGATGGGTGTGGGGGGTACAATGATTGAGTGTGCCCCCCTTCTAGAGGATTTGCCTTGAGACCACAGGGCTTGCCTTTAAACTTATATAGATTTAGAGACGGACATGGCGTAAAGTCTTGCATGATATTAAATTGCAAAATCAAAGGGCAGTCCTTTTACAAATTCCAGGCCAGTCTTTGCTCAAAGTATCATATCTATCATCTCCTTCTTCTCCACGTTATGAGGTAGTACGGATACAACGATCAGCGAGCCCACATCCGGACTTTTGGCACTCCGCCAGAATCAATGGACAGTGCAAACGTTCAAGGCGGTGGGATTATTGTTTCTCAATTTGAGGCCCTATGCCAAACAAGTCTATTGTTTACTCGGCAGAAACAGACATGGGGGCATGTCTCTCCTCCGGAGTCTGAGGAAGGCGGATACGGTACTTGTGTGAGCCGAGATCGTCCTCGTCGTCCTCGTCCCACAGGACCTGTACCTTGGCACGCCTCAAGATGGAGAACTGCTGGGCAATTGCAATGACAGCCTCAAGAACACTGTTTTTTATTTCCTTTGTCAGCGACGACTTCAGAGAAACAGCGGAGCGAAACCTTTTAAGAACAGCTTACCCAACAATGATGGCAACGACCGCGATGCCGACGTGAGTTTCGTATAGCCAGCAGTACGGTTCACCAGCGGCAATAACACCAGAAGTGAAAGAGATAGCCGCAAACGCAATGTCGAAAGCAGTGTACACCCACCCCAGCGCCCTCCTCCTCTTCTTGTCATCAACGTCAAACCAGCCGCGCATCCAGTCGTTGCTCTCTTCGTCGTGGTCACCGCCATCGCCACGACGTCCGCGGCGGCCAAATATGCATTTCACGCATCCGAGGTCGACGATGACGGGCTTTTTCTGGCCACCTCTACGGTGCCCGCTCTGTGTCAACAGCGCGAATATGAGCCATACGAGCTGCAGGGTAGCCAGGAAGATGAAGAGCTTGGAGAGGCCCTCGTACCGCCTTCGGCCGTCCCACTCGAGAATGACAAGGGTGAGACTGAGAGCGACGGCGATGAAGCGCAGGAAGGCGACGGAGTTGATGATGAATTTGAGGAATACTGGGGATGAGCCGCCGTTGTGAGAAGAGGCGGACGAGTGCTGGGACGGAGGGGTTAGGGGGCGGAAGACGACGTTGGGGTTCAACGGTCTGTTTTCCGGCGGGGAAGCCATGGTTTTGAGGGAGCCTAGGAACTTGGTCGAGGGGAGGTCGTATATTATATCGTGGGATGGGTAGTGGTATGTGTTGTCTGTGTATGACAGTTCTTGCTTATCTGTGTAGACAGGCATCGAGAAGTTCATCCGGCGGTGGGTGGTGAGGGAGAGGTTATTATATACGAGACTGAGTCGTGCCCCATCTCATGAATGGAGAGGCAGCAGGCAAGCAATGTTGTGTGTGTAGTGCAATGTGAGAAAGATACTTTTGGTCCAGTGTGTTGGTTTCAAAGGAAGAGGAGACCAGAATCCAGAACTAGACCACACAGACAGACAGAACCCATGTTCCCAAGAGGGAGTAACAGGACACCCGTCAAACGCGAGTCCGGCTTGAGATCTCACGCGCACCCAACTTTCCCTCCCATCCCTTGAGCCAACAAGCACTCCCCCCCTTTTGCACTCATCACCAATGGCAACAAAGGGTCCTGAGAGCCGCAGACGCGCCCCCGGCTCCGCCATGCGGGATCTCCAAGCCTTCATCCACTGACGTTGTCCGGAATTCGGGTGCCTGGAGGTCCACTTTGACATAGTGACACACCAACGTCAACCCCCCCTCCCCCCGCCTCACGAGGGGAAGCTTATCATTGGCCGGCGGACGGATTGGTGCAAAGAACGCCATGCCCAGCGGCGGTGCAAGTAAGTCGTGGTTTTCCTTAGCAAAGCCGAAGGATTGACATGTATCAAAAGATTTTCAATGTCTGGTGTTGTGGGTGTCTGGTTCAGACTTTGAGGTGGTTTACGGTTATGGTGGTGATCGTCGCCGGAATTGACCAAAGTTCCATCCTAATCAGCGTTCAGCGTCTCTTGGGTGCTGTGGTACGCGTGGTTGGTGGCTTGCTGGCAGAACGTGGAAAATGATTGAGTTAGCCTCAATCGAGTCTCATCAGACCATGGGTTCGTATTCAAGGGGCACAATCTTTGATACCGTGCTGTGAGGCTGGTAGCTCGCAACCGCATTGGCATGACATCTCAACTACTAGAATATCGCCTGTAAGCCTGGGTTTTCCTCATCAATGTGCCAACAAGCACCTCTTAGTCAAATGCAATTGCGTCGGGTACCCGAACTGTTCGCCTTTGACAACCACTTGTAGTCTCAGCATGAAAATCCCAAGGTTTCTTATTTCTCGCTGTCAAAATTTCCAAAGGGATATCTTCATCGCCCAGAACCCATCCAATGGTACTCGCTCTCTTGAACGCCGGATTGATAATGCTAACCAAGAATGCTGTCAATCCAGTCAATGCTCCACCATTCAGACTTTGAATACCGCAGTGCCGGGCGACGGCTATGCAAGTTTCAGGACAGTTGTTTAATGCTGGTGCCTGCTCGGAAGCATCTGAGGTCCTCAAAGCCGGGCCCAGACTGGCCAAGTTGACGCAAGCAAGCGCCATTCCTTCCAACAAACAAACACCTCGTATGTCAGTCTAGCTGAATCAACGTCGGCCCGTCACACGATAGCTCCCAGTTTCGATTGATACTTTCCACCCGTCGTTGACGAGGGCGGCGATAACGCCCTGTCTCAGTCGCGACACGCCTCCGGCACTATGGAGGCCGCGACCTGTGACAATCGTGAAGCCTTCACCCGCTTTTCTCGCTCGGTACTCGCCCAGACTATTCCACCAGTCCCAGACGCGCTCGCGAGCGATTCGGACGCCGTCGGCAACTTCAACGCCGTGGAGATCGATCGCCTTTCCTGAACTAGTGCTAGATACGTGGATATCGGCCGCGACACTCTTCGCCTTGGCGAAGCTGCGTGCCTCCTCACGTCCCCGATCTGCATAGTATCCTGCTGCCTGCCTGTACAAATGTCCCTTCTTGTACACTTGACCGGCGGTCGAATAAGAGTGGTGACTGGCCTCGCGGTATACGCCAGCTGTATCCATGGCCTGCTGATAAGTGCGGGGTCCCAATGAGGGACTATTTAGGAGGACTGGGCTGTTAAGGGGGCGCCCAATAGGCGACATGACTGACGTCTTGGGCGAGGCCACCTTTTGCCAGCCATCAGACGACCCTTCCAGCTCTTCTGTTGTCAAAGGCGCAAGCTTGTAGTTGATATCCAGGCGCTTTGCGGGCAATTTACCAAAATAACGATTCAGCAATGTAGCAACCTCCTCTATCCACTGATGATCACTGCGTGTGACTTCATTGAGGGGCGACAGGTACTGCTCGGGGATGTGCCGATATTGCTTCTTCAGTTCCTGAATGTACTGCTTTCGGTGCTCATCTTCCCCAGTCCAGGCACCAACACCTTGCTTAACAAAACGATCGAGGAACTCTATGATAGTAAGTTCGGTCGAACCTTTGCGCGCATCGAAGACGTCCGAGACTTCATCGAAATGCAGATCGAGCTTCTCTACAATGAAGAGGATCTTTTCAACCCCTAGGTGCCGTCAGTAGATTGCCTTTACAGTCATGTTACTTTACTTACGCTCGTTCTCATCTATGACAGGGGAAGTCTCATTAATACTGCTCGAGCTGGAGGACAAGTCCGTACGCAGGTCTTTCCGTTTCTTTCCTTTGCCCTTCTTTTTCCCGGGCGGCATTTGAGGCAGCCCCGAGTCCACGAAGCCGTCGATGCCCTTTGGCCTTTCGCCGATGGACTCAAGATACTGAATGTTCAATAAGGTCTCCAGAGCAGCCTGGAAATCGCCCTTCGCTTTCTTAAGTGCGAAGCTCACGTCATGCGGCTTCAGATCCGTAAACATATCCTGCAGCTGCAAGAGCTTTTCCTGGTCTGATTCACCGTCAAACGTTGCTATACGTGGGACATCATAATCCGGTTCAGACGGGGGTGGGCTCGTCAGTCTGGTCCCAGAGGAATCCGAGTCCCTCAGCTGGACCCCCTCCGAAACCGTGGAGCTATCTCGCGCATCGGCTCCGCCATCAACAGAGCTGATGGTGTCTGGGACACCGCTGGCGTTGAAACCGCTCGCCTCTTCAACAAGGACATTCTGGGCTATGCTCTGCAGCATCCCGCGAACGTCAATGAGCTGGCCGGCATCTTCAAGATCTATTTCGCTCGCGATTGCGATAACGACTGTAGTATCTAGTAGGGGAAACTCCGCCTGCATTGTTGTCATTAGCATGCGCCTTGGCCTCAACAAATGGCCTCCTCTCGTGATGGGTTCCGATGATCTCCTCATGAAAGTACAAGGGAGCATGCAGCGGCGCTATCGAGCAAAGGGTTACTCACCGCTAGGTCGTCTAGGGTTGGTGTAGCCATTGATCAAGTTGAAACTTCAAGGTTCGAGATATCGTTGTGAGATAGTCCAAAGCTCACTAGTCATACTGGAAGGTAAACCGGTACAAAGGTGTTTTGCTCCCGAGTCTCTGGTCGTGCAAACAACCAGCAGGCCGAGCCAATCGAGGACGAAGTGAACCAGACAAGTAACGGCAAACACCAAAATTTCTTGTGTAGCGACAGTCGAATGCACGAGTAGCTGCGTAGCAAACGATCGAGCAGCCGACGCGACGGTAAAGTAGTGATGACGCAGGCGGGGCTGGTTTTGGTGGTGGGATGTTGGTTTCTGCAAAAAGGAGTCTTTTGCGCTAGAGTGCTCAAATGCTAACGAGTGCTCGATGAATCATGTGGCCGCCAGCCTAAGGTGCGCATGTCCTAGTCCAAGTCTTGTCAAAAAGCAAATCAATGACTCTGATCATGTCTGTCATCCGCCGGGCTAGGATAGACCGCGCCTCATGTTGAAAAGACGTTGCTTGTCTCCGATCGGAATGTGGCTTTGCGGCTGAGGTCATCCATGGCACGTGCAGAAAACAAATGTGGCTGACTCGTGGCTGGGGAAAGCGGAAGCGAAACGAGGTGCTGGTGTGGCTGGTGCAGAAACACCCCATCCGGGTACCCCACCATCTTCGGACATTCGGTGCAGCGAATATCCTCGATACGTACCTCCACAGATGACTTCATCCCCTCCGAACCGTGGCACGACATCAGTGGCCCGTCTTTGGGATAAGCACGAGCTAGCGGTTCACTTCCCGAGGCCGGATCGCTGCAACTCCCATCAATGAAGAGGCGTCAACGGGGTCCGATTGGCTCCGGCTTGATCAGCTCCCAGGAACGGCACTCCGCGGAACAGCAGGATGCTCCATATCTGCGTCAATCAAGCTAGCGGCTGATGTATTATTCGGGGTCTATGGGCCTCTGCTATCAGGACGGACTCCAGGAGGTGGGAAGTGGGATGCAATGCCCCATCCTTGTTTCACGGCTCGCGTGGTTGACTGAGGCTCCTCACACGTTAACGCATGAGAACCTGCTGATATGCACTTAGCTGTGTACATCCATCTAGACGGCGTGGCAGGCTGGTGCTGTCTTGTATTCATCAGTCAAATACCGAAACAGAAGCTAGCTCAGTCATGTTTTTGCTCCATCTCGACATTTTCATCAACTTTGCCCAAGGTATCCGTAGCTCACCTGCATTAGCACTGCATGTATAAGCACTCACCTCACCTTGTCCGCATTCGTCCAAGGCAAGGCGAGGCAGGGTTGCATGGTCAAAGACAGGGATGAACTACATCGGTCGACCGAGGATCCCGACAGCCAGTATCGAGAAGAAAAGGCGGCCCAGCCTCACGGCGACTGACACCGTGGCAGCGCGAGCTCCAAAGACCCAGGAAGAATACGGTCTACCCAGTATTGCTGACGATCAAAAGCGGGAGGGGCTGCCTCTGCTGTGTCAAGAAAAACCTCGAAATCCCGACACAAACGACCCCTCCTGTTTGACAGAGTTCCTTGCCTTTCCGGCTACTGCGGCGTGGTTCGTGGGCTCGAAAGGCCTAGGCGCAAATCTGTTGCATGGTCGTGCCCGGTGTTTCCATACGAGGGAGGTCCTGGCGTCTCTGCACCCCAGCGCATCAACCTTACTTTTTGTTTCCGACACAAACTCGACACAGATCTATATAAGCTTGTCCCGGGCTCCTCATCCGGCTGTGCTAGCAAATAATGCCACCCACAACGGCTTCTACCCATCGTGATATTGGGCCTAACGTCGATTCAGAAGCGAGATCTGACCCTGAAACTGGACCTGATTCCGACTCAACGGTGCTTACCGTCCACAGGCGGCCC